TTCACATTGATCCAGGTATGAAGGATGGCCAGAGAATTGTTTTCTCCGGTGAGGGTGACCAGGAGCCAGGTGTGACCCCAGGTGATGTTGTGTTCGTGGTGGACGAGAAGCCCCACGCTAAATTCCAGAGAAAGGACGCCGACTTGTACTACGAGTGCGAGGTGGACTTGTTGACTGCATTGGCCGGTGGCGACATTGCCTTCAAGCACGTTTCTGGCGACTACGTCAAGTTCTCCATCTTGCCTGGTGAGGTGATCTCCCCAGGTGTCTCTCGTGTGATCGAGAAGCAGGGTATGCCAATCTACAGATCCTCCGACAGAGGTAACTTGTTCATCAAGTTCAACGTGAAGTTCCCAGAGGCCCACTTTGCCTCAGAGGAGAAGTTGAAGCAGTTGGAGAGCATCTTGCCTCCAAGAACCAAGTACCAGATCCCCAAGGGCTCCGAGGTGGACGAGTGTGACTTGGTCCACGTTGATCCATACAAGCACAGCAACAGCGGCAGAAGAGATGCATACGACTCTGACGATGAGGAGGGTGCCGGCGCCGGACCAGGTGTCCAGTGTGCCTCGCAGTAAGCGGGTCGGTGTATATTAGAGCTGGTCGGAGCGAAAGCACAGTGGGGGCTTCGTCCAGCCAAACAACCGGTGAAACCGGTCACATAGCTACATCATAATATTTGAGATTACTTCCTCGTAGGAGAAGATTCATCAGTCCTAGCGATATACATGGTAGCGTTTTAATAATTAGTATTAATGTCCTTCTGGGGGCTATTAGTGCTATATGCTGCTTTGTCTAACGCACCTTTTGGAAAGCCATGAAGAAGTTGCCGGTGCCAGGGCAGTCTGTGAGTGTCCAACCTAAAGCTGGTACAAACATGCTGCCTTTGCTCTTGACATGCTTGAATTTTTCGGCGTGTTCGCTTTGTGCTAGCCATTCTCTGATTTCATGCTCGTTGATGTACTTTTCGATAGTATGTGTACCCTTTGGCACGATTCCAAGAGCAGTCTCGGCCACGAAGATGGTGGTAAACCAGCTGACAAAGTCTCTGTTGATGGTAGAAACGAATACCCAGCCACCGTCTTCTACTCTTTGAAAAAGCTCGTTGAGCACCTCGGCAGGGTAAGGCACATGCTCCAACATCTCGAACGCCGTAACAACGTCGTACTTTCCTTGGTCGTCACCAACAGCTTGAAGCTCGTAAGAAAGCTTGTCTTCTAAAACAGGGTCCAGTTTCTTGTGCCAGTTAGCCGCAGTTATCACATCTGGTGATAAGTCAATGCCCTTCACCAGCTCCACATATGGAAGTCTGGCGAACGACTCGGAGAAAATGCCGCCTCCGCATCCAACATCTAGAACACGCAATCTTCTTGCATTGAGCATCTCGTCTCGTCTTGCTTCCTGTTCTTGTAGTATACGAGCTCTCACTGGCTTCGGAAGCAAGTTGACATTGAACGGAGGCATGTAGACCTGGTCCTCGGGGTCCTCAATCCCTTGGTTGAGCTTGAGGTGCAGACGAATCATATCATTCACAAAGTCCATTCTGACAAGATTCATCTTGTGAAGAATCCGCTGGGGTCCATCGACATCCCACCATGACGAAGCCAATGCGTTGAAATGAGAGACCTCCTCGTCAGAGGCATGAGTATTGCCTTGAGAATTGGCTTGAGAAAGGTATCTGTTGAGTTGTCTGCTTCTGAAGACACCGTGTCTTATGGATTGTCTTAGCATGGAAGTTCTCATGAAGTTGGAGTTTGTGAGTTTGAAGTGAGGTGATGCAGATTTGTGATTTTTATGAAAAATTGGGTGAAAGTGGTTTGAAAGTATGTGAAAATCCCAAGGTTTGTATAATGCAGTGTAGAACCTGGTGGTTGAATTTTGCTGGTGGTTTTCCTTCTTGCCGAGACTTCACTTTCGCAACTTTCATGGAGATAATGCAAAACCATCGCGGCATTAGGAGAGCCGGAGGACTGATACTGAAAAAGTATAAAATGGATCGAAGCTGAGGAAAGTGACAAAGCTTCATCGATGAAGAAAATTAGTCTATTTTTAGCTTTTTCAACTTCCAGTTTTCCATAGGGTTTGCTCCAGAGGCAATAGTTGAACCCTGTGCATTTCGCAGCCATTTGAGAGCGCCTCCAACTTCTAATAGGCTCTAGAAAAGACAGGATTGGCAAGAAACGAAATAAGGGGCTTGGATCTTGAAACCAATCGACGTATTACAAAATTCCCCAACTGCTCGACGCTTGAGTGTCATACTTGTATATCTGGGTTATGGATTAACACTACTGATATCCAAACCAGTTGAATATGTGATTCCAAACAATTGAAGAATTTGTAAAGATTTGAGTAGCATTTTTATAGTCTTGTTTCGTTTACAGAAGAAATATTGCCCTAAAAAGTATTTCATTCGATGGATTCATTTTGCACCCGGTTGTTACTGCACCGCGAAATATCAAAGTCTCGGTAACTCCAGCTTCTTTATTATGGACTCCAACGAAGGGCTTGCCACATCAAGGTCTCGCAGAGCCAATGCTGGTTCTCGACTCAAGCAGCTTATAGAGCTTGAGGAGGCCGCCTCAGGTGTGCAACAGACATTCCTCACCGAAGAGGATGAAGATGTCCAGCTTCTATTCCAAGAAGACGAGAACGATGCAGAGTTTGAGGAAGAAGAGGAAGATGAAGAAGGCGAGGGTGACGAAGACGGTGAAGAAGGAGAAGACGGTGAAGAAGGAGAAGACGAGGAAGATGGAGGACGCGAAGAAGATGGAGATGATGTCGATGATCCACAGAAGGAAGCAGCTCAGCTACTAGGCGAGGATAAGTCTGAAACCGAGGCAAATCCAGACGAAATGCTCTCAGACTCCGATTTGTCTGTATCTGAAGACGACGAGAGTGAAGGTGAACGTGAGCTCCAGAAAGAAGAAAGATCCAAGAAGAGAAAGAAGAAGCAGACAATCATTCCTGCTATCAAGAAGCGTGCTACACAAGCACCTAAACCCAAGACAGCTCCAAAGCCCTCATCTAATGCTCTTCTATACGGTGAGCGCAGAGCCTCTTCAAGAAAGTCCGCCGTGAAGAACAAGGAAGTCTTGCTAGAAAAGCTCAAGGCAGACGAAACCAGAAGGGCTGCTCTCACACCCATTGTTAGGGTGAAGGAGAGAGAACCAACTCAGGAGGAGAGACTTGCACAGGCTCAAGAGACAGAGAAAGAGAACGTGCTTTCATTAAATGCCTTTTTAGAGCAGGAAATCGTCAAGAAAGAGCGCCAGAAAATGATGTTCCAACTGAAGCGCCAAAAACTTCGAAATGTCATCCGCCTTGTCTCTAGTGCAACCTTTGTTACACCCCTAGAAGAGGTTGAAGATGCCAGGCATGTTCAGGACATGTTTGAGAAGAAACGCCGTGGGCGTAGAAGAAAGAACGTTCAAGAAGAGCCCGATGTCAGACGTCCTGGAGATGTCGACACTGAGCTTCCTTACTACAGAGCCGAGATGGTCGAGAAACAGCGCCTAGAGGCTATTAGGCTAGAAGAAAAGCGCAAGCTTGAAGAAGCTAGAGCCATCAAAAGAGAGAAGCTTGAGAAGGAACGCGCTGAAAGAAAACGCAAACTTGAAGAGGAGAGGGAAGAGCGCCGTAAACTCAAGGAGCAGCGCCTCAAAGAGTTTGAGAATATTGATGCCACAGACCCAAACTTCTCTGCCGAATCACTACGTCTAAAGGGCGAGCTTTCATCTTTAGAGGAGCAGGATCGGGAGGCTGATGAAAAGGACAGGGCCGAGACGGAAGAGTCCGAAAAAGAGGATCAGAAGGAGTCACAAGACGGCGAAGCAGGTCTGGATGACACTCAAACAAAACCTCCTCAAGTTGACGAGGCAGAGAAGGAAATAAAGAAGGAAGCTGTCGATGAGGTGCAAAAAGAGGAAGCCACCATATCAAAAGAACAAAGCGCCGAGGTCGTCGACGACAAGACGCCAGAGTTTAATGACGTCGAGATGACAGATGCCGCTGAGCCCACAGATGAAAAAGCGAAGACTGACGATCAAAAGGATGACGAAAAAGAGTCTCAAGAGAAGGAGGAATCGGTTGTTGCGGATGGTGAAGCTAGTGAGGCGAAAAACGATGAAGCCACTGAGAAGGGCACTCCTCCGAAAGATTCGGAGGTAGTCAAGGTCGAGAAGAAAGTTACATTCTCCGACGACGTTGGCAAAGAGGAAGAGAAGGAAAGCGAAAAGAAGGAAGAGCAGTCCGAGGAGGTTAAACCCAAAAAGGAGGAGAGCCCCGAGGTCAAGTCAGTCACGCCTGTTTACAAAGCTCGCTCGGACGGAAACGTTTTCGAAGGCCCAGTGCAATATGTTTCTCGTAACATGGTCTATCTCATGGACTTCGACGAGGAAGACAGGTACTGGAAGCTTCCAGAGACGAAGATCAAGATTGCCCTTTTCGGAGAAGAGAGTGTTCTTAGTGCATCAAGGAGATTCAGAGATGTCAAAACGATTCTTCGAAGCACTTCTCGCAATGAGAATCCTTATGCGACACCCAAGGATGACAGGGAGGACGAGCTCTTCCAGCTGGTTGCCGATATCACTGAAGACAGTCCAATGTTTGACGATCTTAAGAAACTCCGCAAGATTGGTGTACGTGTCGAGGACGAGGAGTCTGAAGAAGAGGAGGACAGGGAAGAAGAAAACGTGGTGCAGATCAGTACCGAGGCGCCAACTGGTCTTTACCTCCCCAATGGCAACAAGAAGATCTGTCTCATTTCCGGAAAGGAAGTCAGGTACTTCGATCCTGGCACTGGTGTTCCTTACGACAGTGTGGACGACTACAAAGTTATCAAGACTATCGAGGCTGGCACTATTCCGTGGTACAGTATTCCTAGAGACCAGAACACATACGGAGCAGTGGAGATATATTTAAATAACCGAGAGGGAAGCCGACACGCTCGTGGCGTGCCAGAGGGCTTCGAGGGCTGTTAACTCGGTGATTCTAGTTTAATGCAATTAATGACCAGATGAATGTTGAACATCTTTCTCGTGAGCGCCGATCAAGTCGGCCTGGAATTTGACGAGCTTGGCCTTCACCAAAGGAACCAAGTGCTTTTTGACGTGAGAGGTGTTTTCACCTTCAACGTTGAAGACGTACTCGTCGTCGTCCTGATCATGGAAGAATTCGTCCAAGGCGATGGTAGAGGTGAAAGAGCTGTCTTCCTCCTCTTTCTTGGAACCTTCCACCGCAAGTCGAAGCTTCATGTCGTAGATACACAAAGTCTTGCCTTTTCTCTGGGTAACGTCACAGTCACCGTCCACAGAGGTGACCTCGGTGACAACAAGCTTCCATGCATCGTCCTCGTATGAGGTGTTGACGACCTTTTCACCAAGATATTCCTTTGTCCAAGGAAGACAGTTTCTGTCGACCCAGTGCCTGAGGTTAGCATAGTCCAAAACAAACAAAAAGCCTATCTAGACATACCAGTTGTTTGGGTTGTGGACCACCATTTGTGAGAAGTAGATTGGTTTGATAATTTTTCGCAGCATATGTTATCCGCGACTACCTGGGGTAAGAACATTCTAGAGCCGCGAGGATGATCCGAAGCGAGGGCTAGGAGTGAATGAATTGAGAATTGAATTTGACTGAAGGTTGTAATCGGGTTTCTTCTCCGTTCACTGGACCTTGGATGAAAGTCAATGTAGCGATAATCTGGAGATAAGTCGTTCAAATCATGCCTGGAGATCAAGATAGCAAAAGCTCTATATTAGATAGATATTGATGATTGCAAGACTTCATTTACTGGGCAGTACGGAACGTGGTGTTGTTCACTCGAAGCGAAAGGGTTTGATGGAGCATCGCATTTTGCACCCAAACACTAGGTGAGACATTGGCCAAGAGGCACAAAACCGGAAGTGCAGTTTATAAAAGAACCCATTTGCTTCAATATCAAACTTCAAAAAACATCCACGTGTAAAAGCATACTTGCCCCATTAAGGGATTTATTTGTGGCTTTTGTATGGGATCTGCAGCAGCCACATCGCTTAAGCCGGCCTGTCAACGCACGTTCTTACTACAATATACAACTGCAGTTTGATGGACGTCACTTTTTGAAAAAAAAAGTCTGGTAGCGTGCTGAAGTGTATCAGATCTTGTTTCTGCAATTCGATCCTAAAAGCTGGCTTCAAACCGCTCAGCCACATCCTTAATGGCTGCGAAAACGTCATCATCAGGATGAAAATCACCACAAGTTTCTTGATGAAAACGTAGATATCAAGCCATGAAAACAGAAAAAGTCAAATCTTATCACTACAAATCATCTTTTCACTCACTTTCCCGCTGATGGCTTTGTGATCGCTCTGTTCCAGGTACCGCCTCGTCTAATGCGAATAGCCGAACCACAGCATGAAAACGACCACAATAGCGTGAATTAAACAGTCGAAACTATCAAAATAACATCTCTCCAAATCCATCCAAAATCACGTTCTCTTTTTTTGACTTTCATTCCCCTGACGGCCAAGAAATCATCCCCTGGATCTGAAAAGCGTATTAGACTATGCATGCGCGATTTGTTGATAGCTTTTTCCAAACAACTTCAACCACCAGTGGTTCATGCCCGAAAGTATAGAGCTTTCAGACTTGAAGCACAAACCGTTTTTTGAATTTGAAAAACCAGAGGGCCGCTTGAGCCCGCAAAACCGTCGCAAAATATGGCTCCATATCCTACTAGAGACTATTGCATCCGTTGTGATCTACTCATCTTACACCAAGCTTGTTCTGCTATACCTGTTCTTGGCTCCTACGCTATTGGGAGCATCAACGGCAGCTCTAGCTCAGTCCATGAACCAGCTCTACAAGGGCAGACTATCGGTTTCGAAGTTGCTTAAATTCTTGATATGGGGATGCATCAACGGCTGTTTCACCGCCTTGTGGATCGACACTCTTGTGGCCAGAGTGGACTCTGTGTTCTATAGAATTTTGATTGATCAGTTGATCGGCGCCCCCTCCTTCCAGTTGACATTCCACTTGCTCGGTAAAGTGTGGGATGTGGCCGAACCGGGTCACCCATCTCCAAGCTTCTCCACCTTCCTCACAGCCTTGAGCATCTCATACTGCTACTGGCCATTTGTGTCCATTGCCATGTTTGTCTTCATTCCGCAGCTGTTGATGTTCATCAGCAATTGTGTTGCAAACTTGATCTGGAACATGATCCTCAGCAGAATAGCATAATACACGCATTACCTGATTCTCTTCAACGGGTCCGACTTACGGCCGCCCTTCTTCTTATGCTTTCTAACCTTGTTTTTCGTGAATGGGATGAAACCAAGGTCTTTCTTAGGACCGGCCCTGGCACTGGCCGGAAGCAAGTACTCAGGAACTCTCTTCAACTGTGCTTGAACTCTGCTAGGATGCAACTCCTTGTCGTGCCTAAGGGAGGCCAAGTCTTGAGGGTTTTCTTCGAAGAAACGCTTGAGCTTGTCGGAGTTAATCAACTCGTTCTTCAACTCCGAAATTCGGGCTTCTCTGATAGCAACACCAGTGACAGCTCTGAAAGCATCCTCTGATCTGTATCTGAAACCCTCAACCTGCTTCATGTCAAACTGGTAAGGTTTAATCTCGAGACCGTTTTTCAGTTGCTGCTTGACGATCTTCTTAAGCACCTTCTCGTCCTTCTTGGCTGTAGATAAAGTTGCAACTCTATGCTTGCCAACCTCGTTCTCTGGAATCACAAACGACAAAGCCATACCAGCCTTACCGGCTCTGGCGGTTCTTCCAATGCGGTGAACGTATGCTCTAGCTGTGGTTGGCAAGTCAAAGTTGAGCACACATGCAACGTTTCTGAAGTCAACTCCTCGAGACACACCATACTCCTTATCCTTTTTGGCCTTCGATTTCTTTGACTGCTCTGTGGCCTCTTCCTCTTCATCACCCTCATCTTTTTCAACTGTAAAGTCGCTTGTCTCATCGGTAGCAATGAGCAATGAGTAGACGTTCTTGTTGAACTCGTCAACGATATGCAAACGAGAGTTGACAGGCAACTCACTATTCAAAATGCAACAACGGATACCAAACTGCTCCAAGAACAACTTCAAACGGTACCCACGCTCGATGGAATTAACAAAGACAAGCGACTTGCCCTTGATCAAATTCAACTTGTAAATGACGTATGCGAGCAAAAACTTGTCAAACTCGGTGGTTTTGGCGTAGTATTGCACGAGCTTATCGTTAGCAGAGTTATCCTCATTGAGCTTGAGCACAGCTGGTTTTGAACAGAACCGGCTCTTCAAGTCGTTGAGATCGTCGTTTATAGTAGCAGACATCAAAAAGGTCTGCAAGTTTGTCTTGACAGGCAAAAAGGCCTCAAGCTGCTCCAAATCTTCCATGTAGCCGTAAGAAAGAACCAAGTCAACTTCGTCAATAACCAAGTGCCTCGTTTTTGAAAGGTCTATGAGGTTCAGGTTGACGTTATCCTGAAGCACCTGAATCAACTTGGCTGGAGTGGCCACCAAAATATCTGGCTTGTTCGTGAGCAAAGATTTCAAAACCTGCTCTGAAATATTACTGGAGAGGTTCACCACGCTGATCTTCTGATTGCTGTACACTAAAAGCTTCTCGGTGAATTGAGCCACCTGGTTAGCTAATTCTCTCGTAGGAACAAGCACAATGCTCTTGACACATTTTTCCTGTTCAGCCGTAAGCAAGTTCTGGAGAACAGGAATCATATAAGCTGCGGTTTTTCCAGAGCCAGTGCTTGCTTTGGCGATAATGTCTCTCTTTTCTTCTAGAGCCAATGGGATGGCACTGGACTGAATAAGAGTGGGATTTTTGAAGCCGAGATGATCCACGGCTTGTATAATGCGGGGATCAAGGTTGAGCGAGTCCCACTGACACTCGTCGTCAACGTAGGCGGCGTCTGCTGCTTTGTTCATTGAATTATGCTATGGAGATGTAGATCTAAAAATTCAGCGATGCTCATCTTAGGGCCCTATGTGGTGTGGCCATGCAGGAGTATCAAGAATCGAGAAACGTTTTGCAACTTTTCCCAGCACCAGAGTGACATAGGGGGTCGAAAATAAACTAGAGTAAAGTTTTTGGTGTAAAAATTACGTATAGAGTGTTTTTAGAGTTGAATTCGGGTCCATTGCTGAGATATAACGTTTTTCTGTGATTTTTCGCTGAGGAGAGGTTTTCCGGTAAAATGAGACAAATTTATGAAAATTTTAAAGTATAATGCAATGGAAAACCCAAAATTCATGATTTCAGCTGTTGAAATCACCAATTTTATAGTACGATATAATTTGGCGGCATTACAAAGCTTCCAAATTGGGGCGTGTGGCGTAGTTGGTAGCGCGTCTGCCTTGCAAGCAGAAGGTCACTGGTTCGAATCCTGTCTCGTCCAATTTTTTTTATTTTGCACCCAAAGTCCTCCTTGGCTTTTTGTTATCTACTCCGTTGTTCATGAACTAAAATAAATTATGCTATTAATGCTAACGACTTTCGTCAGGTCGCCTTCGACCGTTCGTTGGATCGTAGGGCTGCACTGTTGCAACCGATGTAGGTGTGCTTGAACGTTCTTCGTCCACCACTGACGTGGGGCCTAGTGTCGATTGGGAACGGGTCATTTTCATGGGCTGAGCACGGTCACGACCAACAAAATCAGAAGTGCCGGCCGCTTCATTCGCAGCATTAGCTGCTCTTTCTGTGATGCCCGCTCTGTTAAACCTTGAATTGAGCTCTTCAAGCTCGTGTCGGCTTGCCCTTCTATTGCTGGCAAAAGAGAAGCTCCGGAGCTGTCTCGGTATGTTGATTGTAGAAACAGACTGCCGGCTGTCTTGCGATGGGTGCAGCCCTTGAGCCTCAAGGTCGCGTTCCTTAGACCGCCTAGTAGGTTGACGAGATAGGGTTCTTCTAATCTGGTCACCAAGGTATGCTGCACCTTCATCGTCTTCTTCAGTGGCATCAAAGAAATCGTCCGTGCTAAGTCTTCCCGAGGCAATTGAGTGTTCCCGTTCACGTGGACTTTCCATACCATAGACTGGGAAGACATTGTTGGGTGATCTGTAGGATCTCTTCTTGCGTAACGACTTTGTAGACCGTGTAGATCTTCCGGTAGAAGGTCTGTACAAGCCAGTGACGGGGACATGCAGCTCGGTGCCGAGTCTAGAGCTATCGAGAGAGTCCAGGTCGCCCTTCTCTTCGCGGGCTTCCTTCTTCTCATCTTCGAGCTCGTTTTCCTCCTCAGCTTCTTCTTCGTCCTTTGGATCAACACGAACCACTCTAGAGTCCTGGTTCAATTCGGGTTGTTCGTCTCTCAACTCAAACAGAGGCAAGTGGAGTCTGCGTTGGTCTCTCTCCACCACAAACAAGTGAAGATACCATGGGACGACGAGACCAAAGAACGATCCGCCAATGATGTTGCCGAGGGAGGCTGGTAGAAGCACTTTCCACGCGACGGTGCCCACAGAAATGTGGTCGTGGTTGATCAAGCCGATAATCACCATGTACATATCTGCAATGGAGTGGGAAAAGCCCATGGACACGAAAGTGAACACAGGTAGGAGCATCATGAGGAACTTGACATGCAATGGTTTGGCCATGAGTTGTAGGTAGATGGCTAGGCAGACGAAGAAGTTACCCGCCATACCCCGTATAAGTGTCTGGTGGAAAGCAAGATCGGCCTTTTCGTCCAAGATCAATCGTGATCCTTCGATCATTAGGTCTGTGGACGTGACTTTGGAGTAATGACAGATAATGTAGCAAACGAAGATGTTGCCGACCAAGTTGAACCACCAGCTGACGAACCACGATATTAGTAGATCGACCACGCTGACGGCACGGCGGGCAACGCCAACCAGAAAGAACAAGATGTTCAGGTTGAACAAGTCCACACCCATTATCACCACGTAGAAGAGGCCGATCGGGTACACGAGGCCCTGGAGCAACAAGATGTAGCCTGGGTTGGTGCTGAAGGTTTCAGGGCACTTGGATGCGATCATGCCGTGGAGCATACCGCCAGACGTGAAGAGCATTCCTCCCATGAACAGATTCACAATGAGCGTATCTAGCGATAGTCTCGCTTTTTTCATTGCCGTGGCCACCACCGCTAGAGCGGTTTCGTGGGTGGTCAAGTACAACGATTCGTCTCTCATGGAGCAAGAGGGAGTTCAGGTCACACTTTCTAAAATTGGCCCGGATCAAAAAGGTACGTAAGGAGGGGTGACGACCTGGAATGGAGGGGTGGAGGGGCACTGGAAGAGTGTATGCAAAACAAAGGTGTGTCTCACGATGAGAGACGATGGAACAAACTGGGTGGTGTGAGGCTCCGGTGATCGCGGATGAATTATCCCAATGTGGTGCGATGGCTGCAAATGGCGTTAAATGGGAAATGAGAACGTGCTGCTTTAGAAGCTAATATTTCACGTGGTCAGCTTTCCGATAAATAAGGTTTTGTGACTGGCTGTCAAAGTTAGGGTGGCAGATCGCAATGATGGATGATTGAGGGAAGTCCGGACTCCGAGGGATTTTAACCGACACGGCTACTTCGGCGTCACAAAAAGCGAACTTGTGGAAAGATCGAAGGACAATTCTGGTGCATTTTCTTCGCCTTCGCGAGCACTTGTCGTTTCACTGATTTGACCGTTTTTTTCCTCCTTATCAGTTTCTCCGTTTGCAGCCTCAGCGTCAGCCGTGCCTCTAGATTCAGGCCCATTGTCACTTGAATCGTCTCCATTTTTCTTTTTCCGAGTCCTTCTTGCCGCACGGATCAACCGCCTAAACTCTTTTTTGTAAGTGTTCAACCAAAGGTCTACAGGGAAGTCCTTATCGCTGACGGTCTTGTGGCTCAAGGAGCCGCCAAAAAGCCCACCAGGAGCCGCTGCCGCCAGAAACGCAGCATGCGATTTTTCCCACTGTAGGAGTTTTTGCCGTAGCGTCAAGTCACTCACAGGATGGGAGCTATCTGAATTGGAATTGTGCAAAACGTAGTAGTGGTTGTACCTGAGTTCGAGTTGCGCCCTCGTGCCGTTAGTAGGAAGTTTGAGCTGGGCCAACTTTTCCTTGATTTTCGGAGTGGCAAGAGACGCAAAGTCGATCTTGGGAATCTTCTTGATCTCGTGCCGGTGCTTCTCTGGCTGGGAAAAGTAGAAGGACGAGTGGTTGACATCCTGACGCTTTCTGGGCTGGAAAAACGACGAAATGCCTTTGGGCCGTTTGGCGGGTCGTGGAGCAGGAGGTACCTTGGCCTTTTTGCCACTAAGACAGTCGTCAATATGGCTTCTCTGGAGGAATTCGGCAGTCATGCTTTGGCCACAGACAGGACACTGAACATGGTCAGCAGGGATCTTGTCGGGCTTGGAATCTTCGTCCGACACTTCTATAACTTCAGGTTCAGACGCTGATTCTGTAGATCTGGCCGGAGCCGGTTCAGGCGGTTCATCTGCCTTGAGCTGATCCAAGAGCTCTGGTCGTAGTCTCTCGAAACACAATACTATCTCTTCGAGAAGGATATTCCGCTTGAGGTTACTTTCAAACTGCTCTGTTTTACATAATGGACACAGGTTCTCGGCCATTAGATGCTGTCTGATGCACTGGGAGCAGAAAGTGTGGTTGCACGATGTGATCACTGGAGCTTTGAGGAGATCTTTGCAGATCAAGCAACGCTGGAGAGAGTCCAACTGACTGAGACGCGGTAGTTTCGACGCCTCCCAGTCGGACGGATCGGTATGCTTGTTGCTCATAAGGAGCGATCTATTTATAAGGGTATTTGCTTAGCGGAGCACTGGTGGTTTTTCACATCGCGTATCGCGGTGCCATCGTAGTAACTCATATCGGTGGATCGAGTGCAGGAGATAAGTTGGGTGCAAAACGCACCCACACCGTTCTATTTAAAATGCTTGTTTTTAAAGCTCGTCGTGGGCGGCGGCAGTAGCGGATGACTTGAGGGAGCTGACTTCGGAGGAAAGCTTAGACATGGCTTCACTGAGGGCCTCGGTTGCTGTGGACACACTTTGGGGTTCCTCCTCTGCACTCTGAGAGGCAGACAGGTAGGATTCGGTGGATGGGGCTTCCTCAGACGAGGAGGCCGTAGAGGCAGCTTTCTTGGTTGAAGACGTTTCCGTCTGGATGCTTTCTGGGACAGACAGCTCAGATTTCTCAGACACCTTCGACTCAACGGAGGGTTTGACTGGTTCGGATGACGACTGAACCGACTCCTCAGCTGGAGCAGGAGACTCCACAATTGGCTCGGATTCTGACTCGATGGAAGATGAAGAAGGCTCCACGGGCTGATCAGATGAAGCAACTGGCTCCTCGATGGACTCGACAACAGGCTCCTCGATGGACTCGACAGTAGGCTCAGCAGACACTTCACTTTCTTGATTAATAGCGGGTTCCTCACTAGGCTCAATGGAAGATTCACTGACTGGTTCAGCAGTGGTAACATCCAGAGTCTCACTAGTGGGCTCCGAGGAAGCTTCAGCAACTTGCTCAGTCTCGATGGTTGATTCGCTTTCTGGAGCAACATCAGATGCTGTGGAGCTAGTCTCGGTTGGGAGCTCCAGAGAGACTTCAGAGCTCTCCACTGTCGCAGTGTCTTCAACCTCCTCCTCGACTTCTTGCTCAATAGGCTGCTCAATTGGCTCTTCCACAGAAACATCAGGGGTCGAGCCATTCACTTCCTCTACTGCTGGCTCAGCAATTTCAGGAGACTCGATTTCCTCGACGGGGTCACTCTCTTCTGCGATTTTCTCGACAGGCTCCTCCACAGGCTCAGATGCAGCAGAACTCTTGGTGCTGGTGATTTCGGTTTCCTGTTCCAGAGAATCCTCAGTTGGCTCAGGGATTTCTGCCTCAGCTACCTCAGGTGCCTCGAGAGACACCTCTGGTTGTTCAGCTTCGACATCTTCAGCTTCTTCAACATTGTTCGAAGACACTTCAGGCACACCAGTTGAGACTGTCTCAGGCGTTATTTCCTCCTCGATGACAACTTCGGGCTCCGCATTTTCAAATGCGGCTTCTTCAGTTGGAATATCTTCGACTTCACCCTCGACGGGGATGTTGGTAGGCTCTGGAACCTCACCGACGTCTTCCAAAACAGTGCCGGCGAAGGACTCTGACTCTTCAGGGACAGACTCTGGTTGCTGCTCGGACTCTTCAACAGGAGGGGTTTCTAAGGAGGGCTCATCGACACTGGATTCCGACTCAACGGGCTCATCTTTCGAGGTCACTTCAGTCTCGACAGCTTGGTCTTCAGTTGACTCAGTCTCTTGAGTCTCTGCTTCTATAGATTCGACGGACAGTGGCTCCTCGTCAGGGACCACAGTGTCTAAGGTGCTAATCTCAAGTGCCACAGCTTCACTAATAATAGAGTCAGTGTCAATTTCGCCTTCGGCGTTGGTGAGGTGGTCGACAGCCTTGGTGACCTCTGAGACAATGTCATTAAGGGTATCATTTGGCTGTGCTGCGGTAGTGGCAGTCTCAGTTTGCACCAAGTTCTCGGGCTTATCTTCCCAGTCGGTCATGGTGAAGAATTGCTTGGTATCATCACCATTGTCGAGCTTGTCACGGTTGAGTTTCTCCTTTATCAAGTCAAGACCGTAAGCCGACTTGTCCTTGAGAACCTCGTACCCAATTTTACCATACACCTGGGCCTTGTCGTAGTATTCGCTGCCATACTTTTGAGACAACTCGAGGGCCACCTTACCGTATACCTGGGCTTTATCGTAGACCTGTCCTCCGTGTTTTTTGGAGAGATCCACGTAATGGTCAATGGGGCCAATATACTGCTCAAGCAACTGAATGTATTGGTCGAGCTGACCCGCCTGAAGGGCTTGCTGAAGGAAAATTCCAGCAGCGATGACAAAGAAGAACATTAAAAGTTTGAAGAACGACCACACGAAGGAGGATCCCTTGGCAAAATTAGGAGGGATGGGCATGACGTTCAAGGTTTGGGAAGCACTTCCGGAGGCTAACTTGGTGCCGCTAGGCGAGAAGCTCAAACTGGTAAGCGCAAACTGATGCAATTTTGGTACGGTGGAAATCACCTTTAAGTCAGACAATCGAAGGAAAGTGACGCAGATATCGTTGCCAGCCAAGGCAATGAGGTTTTGGGGAACAGACACGTCCATGGCAACCACCAATACATTTTTCTTTGTCACAAGAGACTCCTGAACAACTTTGTGGTCAACAATGTCGTAGCGCAAGATGCCAGTTCCTTTACCGTTCTTCAAAGCGCCTGTCACAACAATATTAGTATCCGAAATGAAGCGCATCTTCGAGAGATTGTACTTGGCCAAAACCTTTATAGACTTTTTATCGGCCTGAGCAGACGAGGACTCGGGCCTACCAGTGGCCGTGCTGATCACCTCAATGGTGGATGAGGTCACAAGACACAACGACTTGCCATTGTCCTGGCTAACCTGGAAGTCCTTGACCTCCCCCTCGGTGGAAGCACGTATTTTTGCCACCAACTCCAAACTGTCAGGTCTGAAGATGGATACTTCAGATGGTAAGTGGGATGTCATGAAAGCACCAATTTCACTCTCTGGCGACATGCTGATGATCTTTGGGTATTCGCCCACTGATTCTGCCAGCACAGCGTTTTCATATTGAACAGCGTCCAAGAACAGTAAATGCTCCTCGTCGCTGAACCCATACTTTCTCAAGTTGTTGTTCACGTTCATGTTTTTGATCAACGCCGTAGACTGGTTGCATCCAACGAAGATGTTATTCTTGTTACCGTCGTCGCCAATGGTCCTAGCAGCGTCAACACACATTGGAGAATCCTCATTTGGCGGCAAGGTGATCTCACGGTATTTCTGTAATCTTCTATTCTGGTCTTTCACCTTCAAACTGCATTTGACTGCTGTGATCTTATTAGGAACGCCATTACTGCCTTCGCCACCGCCGCCCACGGCCAAAACGGTCTTATTATCAATAAACTTGATACCGAATATCGGGTAGCCAGTATTCAATACGGCTGCTTTTTTGGCGGACATTGAGTTTAGCGAGTGTTTTGGGTTTTGGTTTGGTGATGTAGAGAGCGACGTTGCAGACTTGGACCCGCACCCGTACACCCCGAAACAAGGCATCCTACTACAAGTTACAACGCCTTCCGAAAATGGTGAAAATAAATTTTATTATATTTTGAAGCAGAAAGATATTTTGGGAAATTGGAAGGGTTCTGGTCCACTTTTCGTATTGGTATCACGTGCAGACCTTGTAATCCAGCGGTGAGCATTGGACCAACTACTCATGGAGACCATAGAGACAAAACTGCTTCTATCAGTGTCACTGCATGTGGCCCATGGGTATGTTGGCAACAGAAGCGTGGTTTTTCCTTTGCAGTACCTAGGATGGGACGTGGATGCCATAAATACCACTGATTTCCTGAACCATCCAGGATACGGTACTTTTGCCGGACGGAAGTCTGATCCCAACACCATTGATGAATTATTCAAGGGTCTTAGGCGAATCGAGGACACAAATAATCCATATAAAGCTGCTTTGGTCGGATACTGTCCCAGTGCAGGCATGTTGAAGGTGGTATACGAACATATAGAGCAGCTCAAGAAGACCAATCCTGACATGATGATTGTGGTGGATCCTGTTTTGGGCGACAACGGGCGTCTCTATGTTCCAGAAGAGGTGGTGCCTATCCATGAGGAATTCTTGAAGAAAGGCTTGGTCAGTTTGATGACTCCGAACCAGTTTGAGTTGGAGCTTCTTACGGGTATAAAGGTAGACGACCGGGATTTTATTGAGAAGGCATTGAGAGAGTTCAATAGAATCTATAAGGTGCCGTACGTGGTGCTTTCGTCCATCACGTTGGACGACAAAATGGCTTCATTTGCATTGGCTCAGAAAGGCGACACAGTGGAGATATTCTCTGTTGACATTCGCCGGATTGAGTGCTCCTTCAATGGCTGTGGCGATGTATTTGCGGCTCTTCTTGCTCATGAAGTTAACAAGAATCAGGGTGTTCTTTCGGTGACCGTTTTACGGACTGTGGTTGCCAAAATGGGCGAAATCCTTGACATCAGTTACCGGGTCGAGCAGAAAAAGACAGGAAAGGCGCCCACTGCCGTTAAGGACATTGCTCTTGTAGCTCTGCGGCACGTTTTTGAAAAGACGTTTGAGTGAATTGAAGCACAGTTTAGACGTTTGAAAGTACATAGACATGTCGACGTGCCAGTGGCATTGAAATCGACAAAGAGAACAATTTAGATACCCGAAAGAAGTAGTAAACGGAAAGCATAAGCCTCTAGTAATTGTCGGCTTACAGTATAGACTGCATTCCATGTATGCTTCACGAACTGAGCCTAGCTATATTAACGTAGCTCAACAAGCACAGTAAGTCGAAAAAATAAAAGAACACCCACAGACCACTAACTAAGGAATCTTCAATAGCGGTACTTAAAAATTTACTTCACCTATCTCCTTCTAGTCTAGAGCTTGGGGCATAAGACCTATTTCGCAGCCATTTTGATGCACTGTCAAGACACATAATGAGCCTTCTGGACCTTCCTACAACCGACTATGGTACTTTTTAACTTCCTTTGAGAAGAAGGATATCGAAGGTCCATCAAAATTAAAAATCCAAATTCCGGGATTTACACTTTGTTGGGCACGGTGTACAGTGGCTGTCATACACGGTAGTTGCGTGCACTCCGATAAGAACTCCAACTACACTTATCTCAGCATGTTCAGCGAGAAGCAACCCCTACAGCGAAGCAATACAAGATATAGAATATTCAAAGGAGTGATTCACATCCTTATTGCCGGAGCCTTCCTCACATACCTTTACAGGCTTTTTGAATCAGTTCCTGAGCCACAGCCTTCCGTGGAGGCGATTCTTGAACCTGAGAGATCGTCTCAGTTCCGCCTCAAGCATGTGTTTCACCACGGAGCTGGCAAGTATAATAAGATCCACCGTCGTTTGGACGTGACGCCTGAGGTGTTGGAAAATCGCCAATGGAAAGTCCAGCATACACCGGAGAAACCGGTTGACCCAAACAACGCTGATTCCGTACTAGCATCGGAGGAACCATCCAGGCTTTTTAAAGATCAAGACCCATGGACAGCACAACTTCAGATCAAGACAGCAGAGAAGCCAGCTCGGCTCAGAAGACTCAAGGAGCGTCACACACCGCATTTTCTAGATTCCTATCTCCAGTACGCCATGGAGGTCAAGGGCAACCCACAGAAGCTAAACCGGATCGGGCTTGAGTGGGAACCAGAGCAAGACGTCTTGCTACCAGATGTCGAAGACAAGGACTCGGTGGTGGCGCTTGCCCTTATCTCTTCGAACGCTTACGTGAGATTACCTTTGAGTGACGACGAGAAGGATAAGCTGGACTGGGTAGATGTCGGCGATCCATGGGATGTGGACGAGGAGAACCCAGACATCAACTTTGGCTGGCTCGAGGACGGGCTCAGAGGGCATGTTTTCGTCAGCAATGACTCCAAGACTGTGGTTATTGGCATAAAGGGCACATCCGGAGCTGGTCTCCCGGGTGGAGGCTCGGACGAGACTTCAGGAAACGACAAGACCAATGACAATCTTTTGTTCTCGTGCTGCTGTGCTAGAGTGGGGTACATGTGGACTACGGTGTGTGACTGCTACGAAAAGACATACACTTGCAACCAGGACTGTCTTGAGAAGGAGCTTCTACGCCAGGACAGGTACTACCAGGCTGCGTTGGACTTGTACCGTAACGTGACCAAGTTGTACCCGCCTGAGGACCACGACATTTGGGTTACCGGGCACTCGCTAGGTGGAGCCGTGGCTTCGCTTCTTGGTAGAACATATGGTCTTCCGGTTGTGGCCTTTGAAGCACCAGGTGAGATGTTAGCCACCAAGCGTCTTCATCTTCCCCAGGCCCCAGGAATCCCCAAGCACATGGAGCACATCTGGCATTTTGGCAATACTGCTGATCCTATCTTTATGGGCGTTTGCAACGGCGCCTCCTCGTCATGCTCTGTAGCAGGGTATGCAATGGAAACCGCATGCCACACGGGCAAGCTTTGTGTCTACGATGTGGTTGGCGACCTAGGCTGGCATGTCAATTTGTTGAACCACCGTATTCACACTGTCATTGATGAAATCATCCTCAAGTACAACAAGACGGCTACGTGCGTGGATCAGCCACCGTGCCGTGACTGCTTCAACTGGCGATACATCAGTAAAGATGACAACGAGCCGGACGAACCTAGACTTCCTCATCCGCTCAAACCTAAACCACCAAAGTCAAGCTCCACACAAAGCTCGACGCCTACAGATTCAGCTACTAGCACACCGACCGAAAGCGAAAAGCCCAAGAAATGTCTTGAGCGGACGTGGTACGGCTGGTGCAAGAAGTGGGAAGGTGATGAGGATTAGACCAGCCAAAAGTGTGGATATTTTGGTTGTTTTCAAATTGCGTTCTGCAATCTCACTACTGACGAGGTGGTGCCGAGATGCGGAAAGTTGAGCCGTGCTTGCCTTCGGTGGAATGAGCAGCTGCAGAGCTACAGGAAGGTAAAGATAACAACAACAGAGAGGCCTTTGTTGATGGTGTTGGTGAAAAGACGTTTTGCAACCACAAAGCAAGCAGAGTAAAAAAAATGGTTTGTAACAGACGAGCAGCCAAGCCTAAATTTCACCTCGGGTATCAAACACAGCCGGACCATCAGCAATTAGACCCGGCAGCAGTTCGGGAGGCTTGCTTGAGGCTGCGCATTCCCACCGCACATGACTGGTGGTGATGCCCACCTACACCCTTCCGACTGTAGAACAAGGAGGGGAAGGTCTAGTTTTCTCCACAAACGTTACACGGCTGGACCAAGGCGAAAGCTTAAAGACATGTCATTGACGAGGCGGTTCTTGATGCGCAAGCATAGCGCTGATCGAGCATAAAGAAGGAAATGGTTGCGAAAAAACGCAAGCAGAATGCGAGGAAGCTTCGCGCAGTGACGTAACGGGCAATGCCCAAACAAAGGAAGTGCAATGAAACAGACAGGCTTGTGCAACGGCGGCGTTAGAAACAAAACCATCTGGATCTAGCAAGCGATCTAGAAAATGGGAAATGCGGGCTGCCCCCTCCCTCGTGGACAAGCCGGTTGACGAAGGTTGTCTTGGCCCCCCGATTATACCCAGCCACTCCGCAGTGAACGGCTGCAAGCAACCGACCTTTGTACGTGAAAGGCACGTCTGTGACGTTTTCCAACAAGAATACGGGACGTTGCGGCAGGCCAGTGACTTGCCCAAAAAGTTGCAAATGACGCTCGGCATGATTACACAGAAAGCCAGAGCAAGGCTTCCAACAGCCCCAGGCGGGCGCGCAGAAGCCTCGGGGGCACGAGCAGAAGATACATACAAAAAAATCGGTGACCTGCCTCATCCGGCGTCAGATGTTTTGACGCATTGAGAGAAATAACCGCCGCATTGGGTCAATTGCCAAACATTCTTCCTGCAGAATCTCACCTTCCTTGCTACCGGGTGTCGGCCACCGCAGGCCATGCAACGCTTCATGAATATCAATCGCTATACTTAGTCGAACTGTCGTTTCAACTTTGGGGTGGGAAAATCCCCGTCAAGACTACTCGGATCTGGCTGAGCCTTGCGGTCACTTTTAGCAATAAATGCATTGCGAAGAAATAAGCGCAGGATCCGCACTGGGCACAGGGTTGGGAGACTGCTGGGGCTGCGCACGCTGCAGGACAACGCTTGTCAAGTCATTCCCATACTGCTTCCTTTGCCGGGCCTTAAATACTTTCTCACATCTCCCGCATTTTTTGCTTTTTCAGGGAAACTACTTTTTCTTCTTTTCAGATAACCCGCCAAGTGTGCCCAACAGAAGGTCCGTCAATTGACCCGCAACCAAGCTACTCGGCCTTTATCCCCACCCACCCACCTACACTTATTTCAGGCATTGTTTTTCCTTCGCTGAAGAGCAACCAACAAAAACAGAAGACTTTTCCTTCTTTCCATTCCCACTAATATTCCAAAATGCTCAGAGTTCTCGGTACTTTCACCAACCTTTTCTTGTTGGCCGGTACTACCCTCTTGTTGGTTTTCATCGTTTTGGGCGGTGCCGTGAACCACTTCCCATTCAAGAAGTTTGACTGGCTTAGCGCTGACACCTCCAGCATCCTGGGTGCTTACGAGCAGTCCAAGTGGTTCTTCTGGGGTGTCTGTGACGCTAACGACCTTAGCAGCTGTCACCTTGGTCCTGCTTACCCACTCTCGCCAAACAGAAACTTCGGCACTGACCTGGGTGTTCCACAGGACTTCCTTAACGATGACTCCACCTTTTACTACTTGTCGAGATTCAGTTTCGCCTTCTTCCTTATTGGTTTTGTTTTCACTGGTCTCGCTTTCTTGGTTGACGTCGCTGGCTTCTGCTTCGACTTCATTGAGAGAATTGTCATCACCTTGGTCACTTTTGCCCTCTTCTTCATTGCCGGTTTCGCTGCTTTCCAGACTGCTGTGACTGTCTTGGCTAGAAACGCTTTCAGAGACGAGGGTTACTCTGCTGACTTGGGTGTGCAGGGTTTCGCCATTATGTGGACTGCCGTTGCTTGTTTGGCTATCATCTGGTTCATTACCTGCGCCAACAACATTGCTACTTCTTACAAGAAGCACATTGAAAACGTGCGTGGCTCTGAGGGCTACTACCAACAGCAGCAGCCTCACGAGGACGGCGAGCTTGCTGACGACTCGTCCTTCACCAGATCCGTTCCTGTGGAGAAGGATGCCAACGCCGGCAGCGGTGGTATTCGTTTCTTCAGAATCAAGAGAAACCAAAAGCCCTCCGACGAAGAGAGTGTCTAATTTGGCAGTGCCCGCGAACGGGCGCTTCGCATACCCTGCTCCTTCATCGGTCGGGTGACTCTTGTCAGTCACATTCGAGCCGCCCGGCTGCTAAATATGTGATTTGTTGATTTTGATACCGTTTAGTGTAATATACAAGTAATCGAAGCTTTGTTTATTGTAGGCCCGGCCAGCGGGACTCATTAGCCCAATTGGGTAATATTACGTTTAAGCCGTGGTTTGGTTGCTAGCAAGGCTGATCTGCCTATAATCAGCCGTTTGCAGCCAATAGTATGTAGCCCAATTTGCAGATCAGGCCATAGAAGAAGGGTGTTCCAGAATCACCCTTCAATGGTCATGGAAGCGCCTTGTCTGCCTTACAATGGCGACCCCACACCACGAGATTCGGAGTTCTCTTGATGGCCTTCAGCTACACTGGATTTAAAAGAAGACTTGGTGAATTCGTAGTGACCAATGACAGAAGCAGAGTGACTTATTTTATTCTTCCTTGCTTGGCTGGCACAGCGATTTGCAACTAGAAGAACATCTTCAACTGCCCCCTCAACAAAAACCAATATAAATAGGAGAATTTCCGTCCTTGAAAAATCGTCCCTCAAGAACCCCCTTAAATGGGCTTTGGCGGGCCGACGCACCGAAGGATACGCAATATTCCTCGCAGCCACCACGCTAGGGCCCTTTTGGCTGCAAGGAGGCTCAAGTTCAAAGCAAATAGTCCCAACAATGAAGGAGAAGAAACGAAAAGAAGGAAAAGGGCTTTGGTTTTTCCGCAGACAAACTCAACCTTTTTTTTGTATTGTTCCCGCTTTTTTTTAGGTTGGCGCCGCCAGCTCCGTTTTGGGTTTCGCCTGAACCATCCCACACGGTTGCGAAACGCTCCATCAATCAGCCCATGTGGCCGGGCATGGGTTTTTCCGAACAATGAAACAAAAAACCACAAATCCTGGTGGGCAATTCACGAAATTATTACTTGCCGAAAACAACTCCGTGGCCTTTCTTCTTTGTGCCCCTCGTCCCCTATTCTGTAGCACCTGCCCCACCTGGCGAACCTCTTGCGTAGCTTACCACTCCATTACATTTTTGCTGAAGAAGGTTGCACAGGGCCAAGCTCCCAAACCATTTTTTTCTATAGCTCCCAAAACCCAAACAAAACCGAAAAAATCCCTTAAAGTCTATATTTGCCAAGCAGTCGGCGTGGGTTTCCTGGACTAAGGTGCCCCTCAGGTCCTGTACTACACCCATTCGCAATTAAGCTCAACTCTTCTATTCCCAGGTTACAGCGCTACATGACAGAAAAACACAACTTGAAGAGCCTATTCCATAGAGAAAAGAAGCCCGATAACGGCCACCACGGCATTTCTCGCTTGTTCCATCACGACAAGAAGAAAGGCCTGCCTGAGCCCTCGGAGAAGACGTCCTCAGACTCCTCCAAGGTCTCCAGAACCCCATCGGCGATCCTGTTGAAACGCCTGGATCTGAACGTTCAGAGGGAAAGACTACAAAAACAAGAGCATCCACAGAACCGCCCGATTAGAAGAGCAGAGACCTTTGCCCATGCTCCGCTGCCCAAGTTGGGGATCAGCAAGAAGAACTCCTTCCATGGCCAGCACCCGGGCCCCGGGAACCACCATGAGAAAATCAAATACAACCCTTACGGCATGATCAAAAACCCGCTGGACCAGGTGCCTCATTCGGCGCTGTTTTACTTGAAGGGCGGGCCCGATAGCGGCTTGAGGGTTCCTGCCAATCCGGTAGCAAACCCGAATGACTATTTGCCCGAGGAATTGCACGAAAACCACATAAATTTCCTTGACGACTTTGAGTTCGAGACCGACGTGCACAAACTCGGCGACGGCGGCTCCGCTGACGTCCGAACCGTCCAGCTCGCAGGCAACAAGAAGAAGGTCTATGCGCTTAAGAAACTCACCATGTTCCCCAAGGAGACGGACGAGGAGTTCTATAAGAGGGCCGCAAAGGAGTACATTATTTCCCGCCACATTGCCGAGCTGAGGCATGTCGTCAATACCGTGGCTATCTTGCGTCTACAATCCCAGGGAAGCATGACTCGTGGCTGGGGTATCATCATGGAATTATGTCAAGGAGGCGATCTCTTTAACCAGATCGTCAAGCCCGGCTGGAAGCGCTCGCTGATGTCCGAGAGGTACTGTCTATTCAAACAAATTGCATTTGGTCTAAAATTTTTGCACGACAAGGACATTGTCCACAGGGACTTGAAGCCCGAGAATGTCTTGTTGGATTGCCACGGTGTTGCAAAGCTCTGTGATTTTGGCGTCAGTGACTGGGGCCACGAAGAGCCCATGAACTTTGACTCGCCAGTTAAAAAATCCACGGCGTACGTGGGATCTCCTCCATATTCTCCTCCAGAGGTCATGAAGCTCAAGGACGCTAGTTCCTCGGAAAAGAGCTCTCTCGCTTATGATCCATTCAAGATGGACGCTTGGGGACTCGGTATGCTTTTATTCTGCATGGTCTACGCCGGTGTGCCTTTCCAACAGTCTAGTCTTCTGGACAACCAGTTCAGGGACTACAAGTTCAACAGAGACAGATTCTGCTCCGACCACCCACTGTTCAAGAACAACACAGAATATGCAAGAGGCCCAGGCAGTGAATTCAAGTGGGCTGCTAAGTTCGAACACAATGGTGCCGCCAGAGCTGCTTGGAAACTTTGTGACCCTAAGGTCGAGACAAGATATGACCTCGATTTGTTGCTTAATGATCCATGGTTTTCTGGTCTCGAAATGTGCATTTACGAGCACCCAGATCAATACGTGAACCCATTCATCAACGGCACGGGCGCACCATCGTCGTCAAACTCATCTGTCCACGCCCCATCTGCAACAACTTCTAGAAAGAATACTTCATACGGCCAGTATGATGAAGAGAGTGTTGGATTGCACACCCCAATTAGAAGTATGTTGGACATGGCAGGCTTGCAGCAGAATGACGATACCGCTTCCATCAAGTCCAGTTCACTGTTGCACACATCCAACAAGGATGACAGGTTCTTGAAAAATAGAGGAAGCAGTGAAACATCTCTTCACACCGTTTCGTCGGCCGGATCAAACAGCAAATTGAAGTCAATGTGTGATATTGGCGGGAGCGATAAGAATACCTTGCCGCGGGTAGCCGAGGCAGAGCATGAGGATGTCAAGTTCCCATTGCCAGCAGTACACGAGAATGATGACCCCAATGCTCCATTGCCAGCGGTGCAAGAAACTGAAGGTGCAACGGATGAAGAGCCGCTGAATGGAAAGGTTGGAAAAGGTGCTGAAGACGAATTCCAAGGCAGTATTGACCAGCTTGACCAGCTTCATCTCAATGGTGAGGCCAAACCCAAGGCCGCTGAAAAAATGAAGCCAACGGCGTCGCAAACGACAGGAGAGGAGAATGAGAAGGCAAACTTCTTCAGAGATAAGGTGCTTCATGACAGTGACGACTTGAAGCTCGATAACCAAGGGTGCTGCGAGTTGGGATACAAGATCAAAAAGCACCACCATCTTGATATCAGTGCTGCCAAAGCCAAGCGATAAACAGTTAATAGTAATGTGATCTAACGACGGTTGGGCAAGCCCTTTGTACTACAATCGAATCAATGATTATTGTATTCGTTACGTCAACCCGGATTATACAGAACTATTTAGGCCTCCAAAGCAACTCTACCCTTAGGGTTGGTGACCTTGACACCCAAAGACTTGGCCTTGGTAACAATCTCAACTCTGTTCTTAGAAGAGACATTGTGGGCAATCTCAGCAGCGTGAGTCTTGGTGTGCATCAACAAAGCGTCCAAGTCACCGGTGTTTCTGACGAGGTAGACCTTGTAACCTTGTGGGTTCAAGAACTTGGTCTTCTTGTTGGAACCGTAACCGATGTTTGGCTGACGGATGGTGCCTCTGAATCTTCTTCTGACACAAGAGTCAATACCCTTCTGCTTTCTCCAGTTCTCGGCAACTCTGTCATATCTGTCAGAGTGATGTCTCTTGAACTTCTTGGTGTACTTCTTAACAATCTTGACAGAGGACACTGGCGGTTAGTATATTTTTCACTTGAGGAATCATTTTGGGGCTAAACGGATATGGAGCGGTGGAGGGGTATTTCAGAATTGGAAATTAATGGAGATAAATTCTGCTTTGTTTGCTGATATCGTGTGTGCCCTTTGTTCATTCAACATACTTTTGAAGTGTTGTCAGTAGCTGTAGAAAAGGAATCCTAAGACGGTAGGTTTAAAATTTTTCCTTGGGCATCCAGCGAGCGCTGCACTGGGGACGCACAGTAGAGAGAGCGGCATGTGTGCAGGAAGAAAAGGTCCCTACTATGGCGCGGTGGTTAGGTCTGAGCCCTAGATTGTGGCACGTGATCGGTCAAGGCAGTCAAGGGCAGCAGGAGTAGTCCCCAATGGCTTATATGCTGGAGGTGATGGAGGTGATGGCAAAGAGGTGATAAGAGATTGCGGGTTTGAGCTAAATAGAGAGCTCGTATTAGGCAGTGGACTGTCTATTTTGACAAATGCCCTTTTCCACTTTGAAGTGGTGTGTCAGTGCTTTCACTATGGCTGCGAAATGTAGTCGACAGTGGCTGCGAAATATAGTAGGCAGATGGCAACGAGAGATAATGCAACCAAAAGCTTAACTTGCAGAATAAAGCTTGAGTCGTTTTTCAGAAATCACAAATGTTGGGAACGAAGCAGAGAAAAAGTTGGTGCAGATCATTTTTTAGTTGGCACCCCAAATGCCCATACTGGTGCCTCTAGTAGGTTGCTGGACCAATTGAAGGACTCGTAAAGGATCCAATATCATCCTCGACGATAATCGAGGAATTGGAGCGTATTGACAAAATATCTCTCAAACGGACCCAATGACACCGCTTTCTACTTCCAGGTGACTTCAGCAAGATCAATTGACTCGAAGCACCACAGAACAACCTCCATGAATCACCACTTCATCTTCAAATACTAGCAACCCCACTATATAGCAGGCAATTATCACGTTGCCCTAATTGTGGTGACCGCAACCGCTACCACACACAAAATGCCGAGCTCTCCGCATAACCTCCATGTCTCATTTGATTGCTTCTCTACATTCCTCACTCCATCAAACCTCCCCTGGTACCCCTTAAACCTTAAATTCAAATCTCTCTACAACTCTCTCTGGAGCAGCTGCATGTGTCACCGAGATCGATCTCCCTTGCATCCCGAGATCCTTGTCCCGACAATCACCCACCCCACCTCAGTCAAGCCTTTTGGGATGCTCCTTGGACCAAATTAGCGCCTCCACTTCTGGAACCTAAACTCACCTATTCAACCATATTTCGTCCTAAGCCACCCGAAAAACCCGCCCAACTTTCCAATTTTCCAAAACCTAATTGACAAACCTTACATTCCCCTCCACATCAATACACCTCTTTGCCATATCGGGTCTTTAGTCTCACTATCCACCCCGGTTTCTGCGCAAGCCGCTCAAATATGCACGAACACATTTAGCGAGAAGACATCTCACCAGCCATACCCCAGTATAAATAGCTCCACAGGGCCCGTAGAAAAAAACTAATTAGACCGTTGGCCAAGCCGAAATCCATTGCTTCAACTCCGAAACCCCTCTTTTTCTGATTGTCTCTGCCACACCTGGCTGTCTCGGAGTCCCAATTTGCTGGATGGTAAACACTGACTCTCTGCACACTCCCAGCATACCAACTCCAAGAGCAAAGCCTCAATACCACCTTCTTATCAGCAAAGCTACTTTTTCACCATTTCCAACACGCTGGCCGAAATCCCCTTTTTCCAGCTGATGCACCCGATTCTCTACTGGGCCTCTGTGGCAGTGGCCTCCTGGGTTGCTTTCTGGCTTTTGGTCTACCACCTCTTCGGAGGCTGGTTGGGCTACATTTCCATCAATAATGGTATATCCTTCAACCACATACGGCTCAAGACGAAGAAAGTTGATCTTTCGGCGAGCACCGTGCGCTTAAGACTCTGGGGAAACTCCAAACGGATCATTGTCTCAGATCTCCGGGCTGAAATCCTCCCGAGTGGCAGCCCTAAGAAGAGCAAGCCTAAGGGGTCAAGCTGCTCGTCCGAAAGCAGCCCGGATCCCGTTTCCATCCTCCCGAGATACTTCAGATGGTTCTTCCGTTTCCTCCTATGGCACCTCCCTTCGCTTGCTATCGAATTGAAACTGTCCCAATTGGTGCTCTCCAGGGATACCGTGGACTTGGACTCCCTTCTATTTATCTTGAGGAAGAAGAAGGCCCCTAATAGAAAAGACTTTCTCCAGTTGATCTTGGAGATCTCGGGCCACAGCATCTTCTCCTCGCCCACATCGGCATGCTCCTTGGTGCCTCCATTGTCCATTGGCACCTTCAACATCACCACCAAGACCATTGTCGACACCTCCAGTGGTATCTTGAGCAACTCAGTGGTTCAATTCTACTTGGACAACTCCGAAATAGGTGCGTTCCAGATCTTGAGACACCTTTTCCAGGAGGACACCGAAAGTCCACATCCACCTCCCCAGAAGGAGCAGTCAGAACCAAAGGAGGCCCAGCTACAAGAGCTTGTGGACAAGCTTTCCAGAACATACCAGAAAATCTCCGGCTTGGTCAAGGAGGTTTCTCTCAATATCTGCAACTCCCGTGTGTTGGGTATCCCTTGCATTCCAACGTCCTCCACTTGTGACTTGGACGAGTACTTTTCCCATGTTGATCCACCCACATCGTTCTCGGTTTCTGTCAAGTCGGTTGCTGTCCAGGCATCGCTTCTTACAGACAATGCTGCCGGCTTCATGGCCTTGTTCAACAACAAAAGCGATCGACCATTGCATCTCACAACCTCTGTCGTTTTGCTTCAGCTGTTCTTTGTAACACGCAAGTACGACAAATCGGCAGACCTCTGGCACTCGGAAATCGACGAATTCCTCAACATACCCAACCTCAGTTGCACCCTTAAGACGAACTTCCTTGATCACTTGGCCAGAGGATTAGGCTTCAAGGACTGCTCTATGGAATTCTACTCATCCGTCAGTAACCCAATTGTGGATCTCAGTGTGAGTCAAATTGCCCTTCTTTCATACAACCGTGTCTTGGCCAAGAAGGTGATGATTCTCAGAAAGTTGAAGAAGAAACAGCACGAACCCTCTCACTCCCGGAAACAATCCAAGTCAGAGAACGAAACCGATGATGACAATAAATCTACCACAGAGTCGCCTGAAACACCCGTCGCTCACAAGTTCGATGGCCCATACAAGGCACACCAAGCTCCACCAACGACATTACTCGATAAGGCTGTGAGCTTACTTAACGAATACTACCCACAGATCGGTGTCAAATGTGCGATTGAACAACCACAATATGTTGTTCGTTTGGACGGAGAGGAAGTGAAACTAATCGACATTTCCTACTCCTTGATGTACTTCCATTTGCTCACGACTTCCAATAATGATTACGACGCTAAATGCCATGTGCTCCATCCATGTCTCAAATATTCACAGAAGATCGATGTTCCTGAAGGTGACGAAAACCCTCGACTCAGCGAAGAGGTCATTGGCTGTAACAGTGCCGAACTCCTGTTCCATGTTCTCAAAAACCTTCGCTTGAAAGTGTCTGCATTGGCTGAAAACGCATTCATCAATTTGGCCAAACCTGACGTTCTCAACGGTATCAATGAAATTGTCTCCAGAATGACTAAGATCACGTTCGAAAATCTTGAAAATGGTTCAGTCAACCAGTTTTTCAACAAGCGTCTTTTAGAAGATTTCGGGGCAGAACCATCGAAGCAGTCCTCTCTGCTGTCTCATCATCACCACAGTCACAAACAGTCATCCATTGACAAGCTCTACAGAAATCTCCCATCATGGTTTGTTTCCGCAGACGTTGAACTTAAGGGCCTCAAGGCTGTGCTTGGTTCCACATCTCCACTTCTACCACCGGAGTTGATTGCTGAGCTTTCAAAGAAATCAGATGCTCTCATGAGTGACTCTGAACAGCTCATAGAGCTCAAGATCGAACATCATTCCATCAGTATAATCAACGATCAAGATGCTGAAGCTCATGCTTATACAGACGAGAACAGTTCCGACTCGCTGGAAACTCTTGCATTCGAAGATCTGAACTTAATGTACTGGAAGGTTCTGGCTGGCCTCAAAAACTTCCAGTTTTTTGCTAAGAGGAGGAAGACTAAGGACACTCCATTGCTTACTCTTGATAACATCGAGACATCTTTGTCTGCAATCAACCGTGATGAAGTCAACGAATTGGTACTCGACAACAACATTGGAGAGATTGGTGGTACTATTGACAGGACAAAGGTGTTCACAGTTCTTGGTCTGATTCATTTGATCTTGCAAACTATTGTCATTCCAGTCAAGAATGTAAGATCTCAAATCAACAAGGATTTGGAGAAGTTTGAGAGGTACGAGAGACGTCAAAGTGTTTCTGAAGGATCCAAGAAGGTGACTGTGCTGTTGAATCTCAAGAAGATCAATTACATTGCCAACCTTTCTGACGAGTTCAAGCTTCGTCTTCAAGCATTTGATATGAATGTCGTCTCGAGAAACAAGGTGACTAACATCAACCTCTTCTTCGTGAGACTTCTTGCGGATTCACCTAGATTCAAGAACATGTGGTGCCGTCTTGGATGTGTCGATTCCGTCGACATCAAATTAAACGATCCCAACGAGGCCGAAAAGATTGCGATATCCTCATCCCATCTTCGGTTTTACCAGCCTGATGGGTTTGTGGCTTACAAGCTTTTCGACAATATCTCCATCTTCCTCAAGATCATCAAGCACCTCGTCAAATGTCTCAAGGCTTCTGAGAAGACTACCATCATCTATCCAAGCGAGTCTCCTCCACTCAAGGTACCTAACATCAGATTTAATGCAACCAATGTCAGTTACATGATGGAGGATGATCCATTCGAAACCGAACTCGGGTACCAATTCCAATTGGGTCTTGTGGAGCAGAGGAAGCGTATGGACATGCTTTCAGCGTTTGAGGAGGAAGTGAAACAAACAGGCATTGACGAGGATGAATTCGACGTTCGCCTTCAACAGATGCGTATAACACTCTCGGATCTGTGGATCAGAAAGGTAAAGAAGTACAAGGAAACTATGGCGAAGGAATTGAAGGTCCATGGCAAGTACAATATTGGTAACGAACTCGAGCTTGCCGACAGTGAAAACCACAGAATAGTTTCCTACAACATTGCGCCTCCATTGTTGAAGATTATCATGGCAGACCTCGACATTCTTATTAGCTCTACCCAATTTTCTTTGGATGAGCTTCCTCAGTATATTCATGATGTTGGACAAGGAGTGCCTCTTGACACGACTTACAATCTTATGCTCCCAACTTATATCGACATGTGTGTCAACGAGTTGAGAATTCACTTAAGAGACTATCCATTACCATTGCTTCACTTACCTAGAGCCAAGGACTCTCAAGGCAGAGGAAGAGCTCTCATGATGAAGGGTCACTTGGTGATAGGTGAAACTCTTTGTCTTGAGAAAGAACATTTGAGACAGATGGAAGTTCAGCTTAGAGGCCCTTCAGAAGACTCCAATGACGAACTCCACAAGTATGACCATCTTACCATCAACAAGTCGCTCACCTCAGTGAAGATCTTTACCGATATGGATGTTCAGTTTGACTCTAATGCGCCATGTCGTTTCGTTTGGGGACAAGCCTATCAATTCGGTATCCAGCAGGTTATGCTTAATTTCGATTCTTTCTCCAAGCCTCCGGTTGATCCATCTAACAAGCTCGGTTTCTGGGACAAGTTGCGTATGCTTCTTCATGGTAAGTTTTCCATCAGAGCAGAAGGCTCAACTCAGGTTGAAGTTGCCTTCAAAGGTGGAAGAGATCCATATGACCTTTTCCCTGAAGCTGCTGGTTTCATCCTCTCGTTCCAGGATCAAGTCAATTGGAGAATTAATCACGAAGACAACTCACTCAAGTTCTTTGATATCCTGGCTCAGAGGGTATCTTGGTATATTCCTAACTACCTAGCCGCTCCACTTATGGCTTGGACTAGAGACAGTTCTGACTCTGTTTTCCTCCCTGATTACCATAGGATGACAAACACGATTCATGCCTACTACTTGCTCAGAACACCTCCTCATTCAACTGCTGAAAATGCCACCAACCCTGATATCAACATTGAGGAGAAGATGGCAATTGAGTTGAGTGGTGGTATCAGATACATTGTTGGATTCCTTTTACAGAGGAACAAGCCTGAAGGGGGTGTCACCGACGACTGCATCCCTCACTACGACATCATTCCTTATAATCCAGAATTCTGTTCCGAAGACCATGATACCTACAAGGGCTTCAGGAGTACCAGACTTCACATGACAATGTCTTTAGCTGCTCACACTGAGGACAGTTACAATACTATTCATTTGAGTCCTGGAGCGTTCAATATATTCTTCAAATGGTGGAAGATGTTCCAGGGTAACATGATGCTTCCAATCAGAAAGGGCATTGTGTTTGGAGAGAAGAAGGCAAGTCCCAAATTCTCTCAACATCTCTTCACAAACAAGTTTTTGTTCCAGATTCGAAACCTTTTCATCAGTCACATCTACAGAGAGGAGTATTTCAAGAACGATGATGACTTCATTGAGTGCTTTGGCTTGAGAGCCAGAGTCAAGGACTATGTCGTCGATTTGCATCAACAAAAGGAGGAGCGTATCTCATTGCATAAGCCTTCTGGTAAGGAAATCAAAACTCTAAAGATGATCATGAAACTAGGTGAGGTCAGTCTTTCAGAGATTGATATGCGCCTGGTTCGTGCTAAGATCTTCAGAGACACCTACCACGCGGAGGACTTGGGTAAGAAGGGTTGCAAGATGAAGATTTTCGACAACAACAAACAGTGGTTTGATCCAAGAGACTTCCATGAGGCCTTCAAGTCCAACAAAAATGAGAAATTCAGTTTGGTTGAGGTCTTGCCGATGGCTTACTCAGAGAGGTTCTCCTATATTAGGGACACTACTGATATGACTGGTGGAAACAAGGATTCGGCAGAAGAGAGTCACGACTGTAAGTTGAACACTAGTGATATCCATAGTGCTCAAATTAATGTTGCGAAGAGACGACTCACCGACTTGGAGGAGCTTTATGAGAAAGAAAGAAGTACAGACATTGAGAAACGTATCAGTGCTTTGAAGGTCTTTATGAAAGGCTTCGCTAACGAAAGGAAGAAGAATGAGAGAAGAGCTAGTCAGCAAAGTACCTCCAACCAGAAGGAGCATTTCCATAACCGTTTTGTGGTCACGTCAATGTTGTTTAAGTGGAACGTGAAGGTTCGTGATGTGTTCACCAAGTACTTGCTTTTTGCTCAGATCAACTCCAAGTCCAGAAAGTTCTTATCCTACGAGTTTGTCAGTATGCTTGAAGGCTTGATCAACAAACAAGACTCACAGTCTGACCGCTTTTCTGTGGCATCCTCGTCAGTCCATGAAGACAATGCCAGAGGAAGAAAGCTCAGTCAGACCTCGATGAAGATGGGCAGTTCACAAGAACGTCTCGACAATTTCGATGCTATTTTGAGAGAAGTCACTGGTGACGAGAGAATTGCTGAGGACTACAAGATCGAAGTAATTGGCGTTCAGATTCAATTGCACACCGAGCAAGTCATTGACACTGTATCGATTATCTCAGCTCCTTTGTTGGAACTGAAGATTGTCTCTGTTCTTCCAAAAAGCGACAATCCTTTGGTTATCAATACCACTGTGCCTGAAAAGAGATATGGTGCCATGCTTCATGATGCCAGTGTGACTATTCTCGAAAAGAAGGACGTTAAGCATGGCCATCCTATCCTTGATTTGAAACCATGGGGAAGCAAGGCCAACTGGCCACCATGGCTTGGTATTGAGACATGCAGAGACAGTACATTTGTTGAACCAACTTTGATGCCAATTGAGCGTATGTCGGTGATGTTGACTTACGATCTGGTCAATGCACTGGCCAGCGACTTGGAGCATCAAGATGACGATAATGAAATTGCTTCTCGAAATGAAACACTCAGTGATCTGTCATCGTCAGCGAAGAACAAGCTTAGAGTTGATATACCAAAGGTCAGTATCACTTCCACCTCCAAACAATACCTTGCACTTTATGCGACAGCACTCAATTTGATTCATTACTCCGACCCGCTCACAAATGAATTGAAGGACAAACTACTGAAACTCAATTTCCAGACCGAGTTCGAGGACTACAGAGCTATGCATAACCGTTTGACCAATCTTCACACCTATATGATGACACTCAATGTTTTGCTGAGAGGCTACGGTTACAGGCACGAGTACCTCAATAACGAGGAGCTCAATTCCTTCCTTTTCATTAATTCCGAGATTGATGATACCAATTTCGAGATTCTATTCACTGTCGAAGCACTCTTCATGCGTGATGCATTTGCCGATTCGTCCAAACTGACCGTCGCAGACTGGATCATTGGAACAGATGAGGTGATTTTACACATGTTGCAAGACGACAGAAAGCCAATTCTTGACTTGAGAGTTGAAGGAGGCACTTGCAAGAGAGTTTTGATGGAAGACGGTTCGAACGATAACAGAATCCAGATCAGAGACATCCAGGGCAACAACTTGGTGAAGGGCGCTCCATACAAGAGGTTTGTCGAGTCGGTGTATCCACCTGACGACGAGAACCTTATTGTGGTTGACTGGTCGATGCAGAAACCAGTTGGAGGAATCAAGATTATCGAAAACTTTGAGATCAACTCTAGACCATTGAAGATTCGCTTTGATGAAGTTACTGGACGGCAATTGATGCAGTTTATCTTCCAGACCGATCAGGAGAACGAGATCGAAAACAGTACACTCATCAAGATGAACAACGACATGAAGGAGATCGACGAGCAGGACAAGCCTGACGGCGATGATGACTCCAAGAAAAAGAAGAGAAAGAAGGAGAAGCTCAAGCCTGGCGAGGAGGAAGAAGACGACGACAATATGTCTGATCAAGCTTCATTGGCAAGCACAACTGCTATCTCCGACCGGGATCTGAAGAGCTTCGATGCTCGCTCGAGATCTGTCAAGAAGAAGAGCTCGTTGAAGGATTCTTCCTTCTCCAGTGGAGAAGAAGGTGATTTTGAGGAGGATGTTGCCAAAATGATTGAGCGGTCGAAGAAGTACTTCAGTGTCACCAACATGAACTTCCGTCCTTTCGAGGTGATGATTTCGTTGAAACTCAAGTCTGGCTTCAAACGGGTTTTGAATGTCACAGACTTCCAGCTTGAGCTTCCCGGTTTCCACGTTGAGAAGGAGCTCCTCTCCATGCTTGACGTCGTGGACATGATGAAGAAGATGTTGACAAAGTCGCTTCTTTCACACAGTGGGCGTCTCCTCAAGAACATGTTGAAGACCAGCCGTCGTAACAAAAAGAAGGACCGCTACAAAGAAGTGGTTGACACGGCTAAAAACACCGTCAAAGACACTGCCCAAGGGCACACATCAGGTCATTAATTAATATATGCAACGCATTATATATGCTGCCTCTTGGCGTCCACAGACGCCTGCTTCTTCTTTCTCTTTTTCTTATTCTCGTCGTTCTCGCTCATATCATCTCCTCTCATTAGGGTCAGCTGGTCGCTGATAGCCAACTCGGCCGGGTTGAAACCGGGAATGCCATTCACCGGCGTCTTTTCGAACTTCAAGGCGTGATTCAACAAATCAGCGTCAATCTCGTGGATTAGGTCAGGCTGCTGGCTCAAGTTGGGGTCCAAGAGCGCAGCTGGAACGGCTTTTGCCGGAGGTATTTGATGCTTTCCCGGCAAGTCCTGGATGTGATTTTTGTAAGACTTGCGTAGTTTGACGCCCTTGGAGCCGTCTGGCTTTGTACGCTCGAGCAGCTTTGCTATCGGTTCTAGGCCGTACATCTTGAGGAGATTATCTAGCGGCGATGGGCTCGGCAGGGTGTATTTCGCTGGGGTTAGTGGTGATGATATATAGTTTTTATAGGACATACCGTTTGCGTCTATGAGGTAGTAGCTTTCCAATCCCTCGGGTTTGGGTTCAGTCATGGAGTAGTTGATGTTAGATTGTACAGTGCGAAAGATGGTGGTATATAGTGAGGCTGGTGATGGGTGAGGTGGGCCCAATGTGGCTGGAAGGAGTAGGCTTTTTAAGGGGGCATAGAGAATAACTTTAATCAAGGAATAAAATTCTGTAGTTTTTTTGTGGAGTTCTGTGGTTTGGTGTGGGAGTTGCTTGAGGTATCGAATGGCTGCAAAATGAAGAGTCCACTCTGACTACACCATACACCCAATTTCACGGTGTCTTTAATTCTGCTTCAATTTACTTGCTGTCTCCATTTTCATCTCCACCATTTTTCAGATCGAGCACATTTGAAAAATAGCATACCCCCATGAAACAGCTCATTCCACCACTTCCCACCTCTACCCTACTACTATGGCCCTCCACCTACAGTCCCTCCCTTCAGATGTGTATTCTTAAACATGGCGGTCTATGAGTCCCGTATAGCAGTCATAATATACAGTGGAGCCGTCGGGGGAGCCCTCGGGCCGTTTTCATTAGCGGACGGGTCTTACTCCAACTTCACGTCGGCCACCTTCTGCTCGAGCCCCGTCTCCTCCTCGTCCTCGTCGTCGTCCACAGACAAGACATCGTACAAGGACTTCTGAGGGCCAGCAGCGGCCTCCTCCTTCTTCTTAGGAGCCTCCTTCTTGCGGGGCTCCAAAGCCTGGCCTCTCTTCCAGTCAAACTCCTTCTCGTCCTTCTTCTTAGGAGCAGCAGCGCCTCCTCTGGTCCAGTCGAGATTGTCCTCCCTGGGCTTTCTGTTCAGCCTCTCACGTGGAGGCAATGGGCCGCCGGAGCCACGAGCAGCACCCCAGTCCAACTCGGGCTCGTCTCTTCTGGGCTTTCTTTCTCTGGGAGGCAAAGGTCCCGAGGCGTTTCTGGCGCTGCCCCAGTCGAGCTCGGGCTCGTCGGGTCTGGCTCTTCTCTCTCTGGGTTCTCTGGGTGGAAGCGCTCCAGAACCTCTGGCAGAACCCCAGTCAAGGTCGGGTTCTTCTCTTCTGGGACCACGGGGACCTCTCTCTCTGCCGCCGCCGCCAACAGGACCGGACGAACGGGCAGCACCCCAGTCCAAGTCAACCTCCTCTCTTTCTCTGTCTCTTCTGCCTCCACCTGGAGGACCTCTGGCCAGTCTCCAGTCGAGATCAAACACATCGGTCTTCTGTGGAGCAGCGACGTTCACGTACATCTTTCTGCCGTTGAACTCCGACATGGTCAAGTTCAAGGCCTCCTCCAAAGCGGCTCTCTCGCTGAAGGTGACAAAGGCAAATCCCTTGGGCTTGCCGGTCATGTTGTCCAAAGGCAACTTCACCTCGGTGACGATATCTCTGGCCTGCAAGCGGTCCTCGAAGAAACGGGTCAAGGCGGGCTCGGTGGCGTCGTATGGCAAATTGCCAACACGGGCCTTGTAAGGAGGAGCATCTGGAATAGGAATCTCCTCTCTGTCTCTTCTAGCATACTGCTCCGAGAACTCGGTGCTTCTCAGCACAGGGGCACCCGAGGAGCCGCCCACAGGGACTCCGATCGACGACATGTCGACCTCGGCATCGGCCCACAGGCCGCCTCCGACGGACTCGTCGTTCAAAAAGGACCCAAGGTCCATCTTCCTCACGTTCTTCTTTGGTGCTATTGTTAGTACATGTGATCTGGGCGGCCGGGGGTTGGGCCCGGGGGTAAATGACGAGGAGGAAGCGATTGGTCACATCGCCAGGGTTCCACGACGTCTTCCTGGTTGATTGTTACATACGCATGACGGTTAGTGTTTCTTAAGCTGAAAAATCAGAAAATTTTTTACTTGTGCGCGCAGTAGCTAACAGAGATGGTGGGATGTTGATCTAGGGATTGTAGCACTTTTTTCACGTAACCATGGCATAGGTGCCGGTATTGTTCATAAATACAAGTGACGTTGTCGTAGCAGTGTCGTAGAAGAAAATTGTTTTTTGTGGAGTGGGTGGAAACGTCTGGGTACGTACCGCTTCTGCATGTCTCATTTTGCAGCCGTTCGGTCAAACCCGTCTGTCGACCACTTCCCGAGCAGCCTCGGCCAAATCCTCGGCATTGTCCTCAGCATTGTGGTAAACGCTGTGTTCGCTTTCCTGTGATCTTCGAGGACTTCGGCGGCTTTCATTCTGCTGTGCCTCGGGTGTTTCTGTCAGCGCTATCTGCTCCATCTGCACAGTTTCCTGAGCAGCCGGCCCGTCCAGCGTTTCCGGCGCCACATGGGGCAAGTGCAGCACAGGAAAGTCGTGACTAACGTCGTCCCGTCCTTCCTCTGCCTGCTGGGCTTGTTCCTCGGAGTAGAGCGAGATCACCGCCCAATTGAACATATCCTCCTTGGAGATCCCCATGAGTCGCCAGAAACTGCGCTTCCAGCAATTAGAAAACTTCTTGTTAGCCACCACACGGGCCGCCAGCTCGAGATCAAGCGTGTCCTGGCCCCGCAAGATGGCATTGGCTCGCTCCGAAAGCGGAATGAGCTCGTTGAGAAGGTTGCGTAGGTTGGGGTCATTTCGTAAAACATCGTAATTGATCGTGAAATCTTCTTCTGTGTGAGTCGTATTATTATCCGTTTCACGGTCCGTGGTATTGCCTGCCTCGGCCAAATCCACCTCTTGAGGCTGGGAAAGATCCTCCGCTCTGTGCTCGTCTGTCCTGTTTTCTTCTGTTCTGTTTTCCTCTGCCCTCTCGGTATTAGTGTTGTTGACATGTCCCTCTGGGCGCTCGGTCACATTAGCTTCTCTGTTGTTCTCCTTGTAGTAATCTCTCTTACAAATAGGACAGCACGCACGCCGGCGGGTCAACCAAGGGTCGACACACTCTGCATGGAAAACATGACCACATATTAGGCCTCTGACAACATCGTCAGGTTCATAAGTATCCAAGCAAATTGCACAGCTTCCAGAGTCAAAGTGGAGCTCGGTTTTGACATTAGACGTGGCCAGGGAAGTGGCATCGATATCAGGAGTAGTATGGTCAGGTGAAGAGAGACGCCGAAGCTCGATGACCTCAAAGTCACCTTGCACTGTCGTCGTAGCATTTACTTTTTCATTTTCACCATCCATATCCATTCGAACCAGGGCCAAATCGTCTTCTGTGTCGCCATTATGGAGCCACTCAGCATATGATGTTTTTGGAAAAAGGCAGTCCACCTGGGCCACCGTAAGCTTCTTCATTTTCAGATACCTTCCTCTTCTACGCCGTCTACGCCGGCGTCCCGCAGCCAAGGCATCTAGGCCTTCAACGGCAGAAAGATAACGTCTTTCGAAAAAATCATCTCGAAAGAAATGGTTATTTCTGAGGTACGTCAAGTACCAGTCGAGCTCGCGGTCGGACGGCGAATGACTTAGCGCCACACGGTCAGGTCCCACGTTTGCAGTGAACATCATCCCATGGTGGGCCACGGGGTATATGTGGAGCCCATAGCGGGAACGCACAAAGTACCTCATGGTGAAGAAAATGAACACAAACGCTATGGCGACACCAACCAGCATGGCCAAAAAGAAAAGCACTGTAGACGGCGTGTTCCCCACGAAAGATGACGAGGAGTCTGAATCTCTTGTTTGCGTGGAAGTAGCCGTGGGGCTAGGATACACCGAGGCCACAGCTAGTGTGTGGGCGTGGAAATCACTGATTGTCGACATTATTATGTTTCAAAGGAGCCACCGAAGTTACGGGGTTGTCACGAATGAAGGGAGTGAGATGAATCTTGAATTTCGGGGACTTGATGAAGTGGATGGTCAAGTTCCCGAGACGGAGATGAACGAATAGAACGTAGCAGACGAAATCTGACTAGTGAGCCTGCTGAAGCAGCGTTTTTCCTTTGTCTTGGACGTTGAAATCAAAACTTTTGGATGATGCCTTCCTCCCACAGTTTTTCGTGGAGATTCCCCAGATCGACTTGTTTCTGTGGGGAAGAGGTTCCTGAACACCAGATCGCGGCGTGATGTTGGAGGTGAATCGCACCTCTATATAATAAAGCAAAAGATCCAGAAAGATCCAGGATCAGGTCTTTCAAGAAAATGAGGAATGTGGTTGATATGTGCTTCGACTACCACTTGCGCCTTGGCCCGGCTTATCTGAGACAGGGCGGCGCGACAATGTCGTCGCTGCCTCAGGAGTCCCGAGTCAGAACGGCCCACCCGCTATAAATAGAATTTTTATTTAGCTGAGGGGGTTAACATAGTGGATCCTTTTACTGCTATTTACTTATTTTTTGCTTTGCAAGAGGTTTTGGCCCAACTGTGTGGGGGTTCATGGGGGTAATTAGGCACGACATTTTTGCAATCGTGCGACAATGTCGCGATCTTAATTACAGCACCCCGGCAAAATCGAGAGAAGCGCAAATCGGCTTTCCAGCGAAGCCAAACATTAAGATCCCTCACTTTGGTCTCTACATTATGGTCATTTCATTATTTTGCCCGAATGCGACATTTTTTACCATCACAGAGTGGGGACCGGCCATGCCCGAACACAACAGGAGCCGGTGGGGGAATGGCTGCGAAAAGCCTCCTCACTTTGAATGACAGCTCCAGCCGAAGGGTAATTAAGATACGAACAGGGAAATCAGACAAAGTCCGAGAACAAAAGAAATTTGACAACTCTTTGTGATTCGAGTCTCTTGGTCAATTACAAATAGCGTGGTACTAAAGTTTAAAAGTGAATAGGAAGCTCGATCTGGCTTATTGTCTGTTTTTGGTGCTGTCATGCCTGTCGCATAGGTGGAGGCGGGGTGTAGTGAACGGCTCCTACTCTAGATGGTGAGACCTTCAATTCGTGTGGCATTTAAGGATCGAGATTCCGATACTTAAAGATTTAAAAACTGGAAAATTTTAAGGAGCTTAGTCGAGAATTGGCAGTGAGAAAAGCATGTCGTAAAATGGAGCCAGGTGGATCTGGGGCGATGGGTGCAACAATAGGAGGGAAAGGGCGATTCGAATTTGTGTTTTCTTTGTAGAATCCTCCAGATACGCCAATTGTCACAATGCTGGGCTTCGAACAATCACTAAGGATTCATTCATGATCATGCCAATGGCAGCTGATTTAGCCTTACGGTGGGGTGGCCTGGGATGGATCTAAGGTCTAGCCAGCATAGTGGAAAATCAAGGCAGGTCGATTTCCTGAAAAGTCAGATCGACGACATTAGGGCGTTAGCGTGTGGAAATACCTGCAATTGCCGATCTAAAGCTATAAGCCTCGAGGATCTTGTTTAGTCGGTCACGTAGTGGAAGTTATGACGATGGCATGTCCGAGATGGATTTCTCGATTTTGCGGGGGTGAAAATTGTCTTCTGTAGTGGGCTCATTGACGAAGACAAGCGTGATTGAGAAAGACAAGACTGTTTAGGGAAGAAAATGAGTGATATGCTTATTGGGTGGTAAATTGAGCGATGGAGACTTTCAAGTGAAGATGTAGTAATGGAGTTTCAATTGTATGATCCAGCTTCATCACCACAACCTCATCTCATCTGCAACCTAGATTCACCTCTACATTCATCTGCTTCCTCTAGCTGTCTTTCCATTTTATTCTCTTTGATGACAATGTTCATTGACTGTCTCCACGGCGACATCCGAGGTCATAACCTCCATCGCTATACGACCAGGTCACCTCTTCAATCAGCCCTCATCCCGTACCCATAGCACCTACTCAACCTACAGTTTGTTGGACTTGCAGTAATATGTATTTATCTGTACATTTAAGCACCCTTTGGAGCCTCCTTGTGGGAGATAGCAGCCTCCTCACCCATAGCGGAGATGACAGAGATGATCAAGTCCTTACCATCGTCAAAGTCGTTCTGGATCTTGTCACCAATGTCACCCTCAGGGACCTTGACGTCGTCCTTGGTGTCACCGTCAGCGGTCATCAAAGACAAGAAACCATCGTCAATGTCCAACAACTGGTAGTCCTGTCTAGAAACGTTAGGAACCTCCATGTTGTGGGTAGATGGGGACAAGTCCTCCAACTTCTTGCCAGTGAAGATGTCAATGGCGACCAAGTGGACCTTGGCGTGACCGTGCTTACCGGTCTTGGAGGTGGACATGTCGACAATCTTACAAGGTCTGCCCTTGATGACAACGTGACCGTTCTTTCTCAAGGCAGAACACTGCATTGGGAAGGTCAAAGCGGCACCAGCATCGGCGGTCTCAAAGACGTGCTGTTCGTTAGTATTTCGGTGCTTATGTCGCCACGGTCTCATTGGCTCTCTTGGCCCATGATCCCCACTAATTCGGGTTCCCTGTTGCCTTAAATCACTTCTTCAAGGTGCCGGGACCCCAAAAAATCACTTTTACATACTTCTTCGTCAGCCATTTTACTTTCTGAATATGTGATGGAAAAGAGGAGGAGGAAGAAATTCCAATGGGATGTATTTTTTTTTTCCGCAGTCGTTGGATGCCCACCGAAAAAAGGGAACCCTGGGTGCGAACGCTTGCCTTACTCGGGACAAATCCCCACAATTCACTGCAACTTTATATATAAGGCTGTGAAATTTTTCAATATATTTTTGTTGTTTTCTTTGATATATGTGTTTTGGCGTTTGCTTCCTCGAATTTGTCCAGAATTGACGCTGCCCTGGCGGGTTACCCGGCCACGATCTGGCGACTCAGAGACAGCGTTCGCGAACCACAAATTCCTGTATTTTCTGGGGCAGATGAGAAAACGCCAGTAAAGACGTCTGTATGCAGGTCCAGATCTCTCACTGCCAATGGCCTCGATGGCAAGCGTCAGCACTGTCCGAGGCTGCGGCTGTCTAGGAGTGGCTACAAGGGGGCGGTTGTTGCCAGATGGCTGGAAGGTCACGTGACGGAGTTGCACGGGGTTTGGTGCCCCGCCAATTCCACCACCCAGTGATCTTCGTCAAAATGGCTGCAAAATCGAAGCTCTTTTGTACATTATGTGGGCGATATATTGGCCTGCTGCTTTTGTCGACATGATTAGGCAAGTGCTGCTGCGGCCGAAGGCGACACTTGCATGATATATGGGTCGTGACCATGTTATGTCACGGTATAATACAGCTGCAGATAGCTTCTTTGTAAGAACTGAAGTGGGCTTGATGTGTAATGCGAGGTGGCCAGGTTGTGTAGGAGAGAGGTTAGACCTCTACTTTTTCTGCATCTTCGCCCTTGAGCGACTTGGGAGTGATCTCCGTGTCTTCTGGAGCCTGGCTGCTCAAGCGGGACTCGTATTTTGCCTGTTTCTCGAGCTTGAGGCTCTCGATCATATCCTTCCACTTGTCCAAGAGCTCATTGCACTTCTCGTGCAACTTGAAGCTCTCCTCGTATGCTAAATCTTCATCCTTGAGAATGCATTTCAACACTTTGTGGATCTTGGTCTCGCGCAAAAGCTCCACGTTCAAGGGGAAGTCGGCAAGACGATGCAATATCAATCTGGCTACCAGCAACTCGTCAACTGTGGGAGGTGGGAACTGCTTGGGGTCCTTTGGCGTCACAGGCTGGTTTCTTTGAATGAGAGATCGTTGTAGTTTGATCCGGCACAACCACAACTGATGCTGTCTATCCTTCTCGGAGATGGGTTTGGGCGATGCTGAGCGGCCATTGCCATTGCCGCTGCCGTTGGTCTCTTCCGTCACTGAGGAGTTGGACACAACACGCTTTTTGGGAGGCGCCGATGAAGCAGTCCCACGAGTTCTCTTTCTGGATCGTGAGCTGTCGGACTCTTCGTCACTATCCTTCTCGTCTTCAATTGGCTCCTCTTCCAGGGTGCTTTGGGCATTCCCATTGCCATTGCGAGAGGAGCTTCTTAAACCTCCTCTTCTGCGAGCTTTCGGCAATGGTCTTCCCTTTTTAGAGTCCGTGTCAGACTCATGTTCTATCGAGTTGTTGGCAGCGTCGTCGTTGTCGTGGGCATCTTCGGCCTCGCCTGTCTCGTCCACTTCATCTTCCTCCTCTTCGTCATCTTCATCATCATTTTCTCCTGCAACGCCCTTGTTGACGGCGGCAAGTTCATCCATAAATTCGTCAAATTGTAAGCCTTTGGCTGCAATGTAGGCTTCGGCAACATTATTCGTGCGACCGGTTTTCTTCTTGGGCTTGTTTTTGAGTTTGTCCTTGGGGACCTTCAGCAAGTAAGTGTCAAGCTTTGCCGGCGTTAGAAGCTCCAAGCCCTTTTCATTCATCCAGTTGAAGTCGCCATCGGGTATGAAGATGACACACGTGTTGGTGGTTTTCTTCTTTGCTTTCATGATGGCGGGCGGGATCATATCTGAGGGCATCACAAATGACGGCCAGGCGGGGAAACCTGTCATTTTCGATAGAACCAATGCCTTGGGCTCAAACTCCGTCTTTGCTGATTTGCGAGGCGGCATGGCTTGTTATATGAATATGGCTGTTGGACGACGAGTGAAACAGGTTTTGATTTTCGGATGTGGGGGTCAATTGACGACTAATTCTAGTAATTTTAATGAGCTGGGGCCTTGGGGCTAGTGTTGGCTCTCCTGCCTCTTGTCTGTGGAGTTGGGCTTCCGATAGTCAGACGAAAGTATAAACAGATAGGAGCCAGGAAACACAAATAGGAAATCAACGGCACAGACGCGCTTCTATGTGGATTCCGGGGCTTGCGTGGCTAGGCGGCGATGGATCTGTCCACAGTCGAGGTCAGGAAGGTGTTGGAGTAGAAGTTGATGTTTTGTATAGGGATAACAGAACGATGTAGCGCCAGACGCCGGAGATGAGTCGGGCACGACGCTTCCCAAGATGGGCAAAATGGGGGATACGGAGGTGGATTTGGGTGGTATTTTTATTTTTATAGTTTTTTACAAACTAATTTGGGGCCCTTGGTTTAATTGAGTGGTTTTTGTGGGGTTACTGTTTTGGGTTGTGTTGCACTGGTGAGCTCTTGCTGTGCAACCACCAGGCTAGTCATGAAACGAGGAAGCAAACAGCGGTGGACTAAATGAAGTAAACGTTATTTAGAAATTCAATGGCGAATTGAGAAAAACAGTATTCTATCTGAGGGCTATAAGTCGTGGATGGGCATGTTACAAGGTGAAACAGCATTTCGCAGCCATTGACCACGGTTCAAGGTAGGAGGAAGGAGCACTTGGTTATTCATAACTAGATACTCAATTGAGGCCGCAGCAGAAGCTTGCTGGATCCGAGGCTGCAGCATTCCGTAGGGGCTTTTCAGGAATCTTCATATTTGTAAGTAAAAGCGTAAAGCACGGCTCGACGTGACTGAACTCCGATCCATGAAGCCGCATTTAAAAGATCTTAGCTGTTTTTCGATCTTCATAACCTCAACTTAGTCTGTCTTGTGACCGCCTTCTTCACGCTTAGCTGCGGAATGTGGCCGCATGTCTCACCTCCCATGAATTCTGTTCGACTGGTCATCTTCAATAATTTGTAATTTCTCAAACTTAAGTCTTAAATGTTGTCTCCCTTGAAATGACTGTGAATTTAAAAATTGGACTCCGTAAGCATGGGCATCTTGGGACATTCACATCCGCCTCACAAGGCTTTGAATCCGCCTCGGCTGCAACCCATTGCCCCAGTTAGTCAAAAGAAAACAAAGCAGAGAAGCACAGAAAATAGTGTATTGAATTTAACAAAGTCAATTAAGACAACTGGCAAAAACTTGTCGAGGTAAATTTCGAGTTCCCTTGTATTGATATCTCTATTACCGATGGGTGATTCATGCTCACACAAGCCTCAACCAGTGACGATGGACCAACCCGCCAATCATCAAAAAAGAACAAGTAAAAGACTTCATTAGTATTCCCCAACGTATGGCAGAACCATTCACACCATCTTCACCCCATAATTACCACCTCTAACATTTATTTGCTAAACACCATTGTCCCACGTCGTGCCTAATGTAACACCGGCTAATCAATTTTTAACTATTGTGCGCCGCAACCCACCACTTGCAAAAGTGAAATTGTTTCCAAAACTCCAAAATTCATACATTTACTGTCCCAACGGCTCCATTTATCAACTTCCCCTTATTCATTTCCTCCACTTTTGCAAAAACCTCCCTTCCAGACCCTTGTGACCCACGGCTGCTGGACCGCTTTTTTCTCGCACTTTTTGTCCACCAACTCTTTTTGCACCCACCAATAAATCCCAATCCTAGGGTCTGTTCCAAACCAACAGGGAATTTTTTTCGGCCATGTCGTCTCTCAAAAGACCCCTCCCGGAGCAGTTGCCCACGCCGGAGGAATTGGCCCGGGTTTTCAAAAAACCTACTCGGGACCACACCGATACCAAGGTCATGGCACAGCTACCACCGCCTTCAAACCACGAACTGGGGCTAGATGCCCCGTTAAGGCATGCTGTACCTCCTTCCATAATGCCTGTTTTGGCTTCTCCATACAATGAACACGACTTCTTTTCAGACTTGCAACAATACTCAGACGAGGAAGCCCTACAACGGAAGGCACAGATAGACCAGATATTGCACTTCTTTCCGCCACCAGCACAGCCATTAATACCACATGAGCAGGTGAAAGCAGAGGGCGGAATCGCTGTGCCTTTTATATATCCGCCAGTTCCGGCCCTCCGACCTGACTACCACTTGAACGATACCTTCTTGAAGCCAGGAGCCGGCCCTGTGGAACAGCAGCACACAACACAACAGCCGTACGAGCGGGCTGAAATTAAACGCTTTGGTATGAATGATAGCATAATCTGGCCCGTGATACCGCCACTACCGTTCCCTCCTCCACGGTACATGCCTTACCCATTGATGGCACAGAAGGCACCCTTAACCCCAGGAGAGGTGTTTGAGGAGTGGATTGAGGCTCTGGAGCACTTGCCTAGGGTGGATATGGTTGTGGCTAGTGCAGCAGGGTCGATTGTGGATATACGGTCGGAACTGGAAGCACTAGGGTTTGACGTAGTGAAGCTCGACCGATGGATCAAGGATAGGCAGCAGGAACTGGATCCTGAGGCCGAGGAAGGTGTGAAGAGCGAAACGGATCTGGATGCTGAACGTGACGACTACGCTAGGTATGTGAAACAAGTCGACACCACCAATGTGTTCGACATTCATGCAAACGACAGGCCCAACTTGCTTGAAGTGCATTCGGATCTCAGAAACGAGTATTTGCGAGTGGCGCCTTCTGAAGAACAGGAGTCTCTGCTGATTCTCAAGACTCACGAATGGAGTGGAGAAGATATAGCTGAAGGAGCATCCGATGTGATGCCACTTCCAGCTTACTTAAGGCATGCCAAGGACGTGGTGAACGCTGGAGGTGGTACAAAAGACAAGAGGAGGAAAGAGCTTCTAGAGTCAGCCAACACCGTGACACGGTTTGTCGACTATCACAAGAAAAAAGTGTACGCTGCTCGCAAGCTCAAGCTACTAGAGCGTTTACGGAATCTTCAGAACAGCAGAATCTCCCTCAACGACAAGAATTTGTCCACAGACGATGTCGAGCTCAATGAGTTTATTCGGAATCGGAAGAACGAGCGGGACCACGAGTTGCTTCGTTTGAAGCTCTATCACAATCATGAGAAGCTCAAAGCGGCACAATTATTTTACCAGTCGTCCAACAGCACATACAAGGGCCTTAACAGGATTATCATCAATAAGTTGCGCAAGCTCAAGCACTTTCTCGAACATCAACAACTGGTGCTTGCTGGTATTGGCCCCGATGCTGAGATATTGAACTTGAGGAGTAAGGACAGCGCTAATTTGGTGAATTCGTTCGTGGAACAAGATTACTCCAACGATGTCAAGCAGGTGTTCCGTAATGCTACTATTAACGAAGACAGGGGAGAGAACAACCCACCCGATGTGAAGGTTGCAAACTTCAACAAGATCTACACCAGTCGGGAGCATTCGCCTCTGGTGCATGACTTTATGCCATTGGCAACTGAAGAAGAATTCAAACTCGTCACTGGAGATGCTCCGACGAAGCTAAGTGCCAAGGACCAGGCTCTCAAGGGCAAGTTCTCCAGACACCAGATCTTCCAGAGTCCTTTGTACGACAGAATCACGTCTGGTTCGGATTCGAATGCCTCTGACAGCACAGCATCGACAACCAAGAGAAGGCCAGGTAGAAGAGCGGCACCTAAACCTTTGTTAGGCGAAGAACCCAGCAAAGAACGCAGTGAAGCAGCACTTGTGGCCAAAATAATGAAGCAGTTTGTTGGACCAGCAGCGGCCAACGCAGACGAGCTTACCGAGGATCTCGACTTGATGAACGTGAACACTCGGTGGCCCGTCAGGTAAAACTACAGGAACGGAAACGGTAATAGTAATGGCGTATTATAGGACAACGTAAAATCAAAAGGGGAGATAAACTATAAAAAAGTTTGCGGGCACAAACAATCAGTTGACTTGAAAGATAGGACAAACACAATGTTAGAAGTGAAGAGGCGAGGAGCTTGGCAGATTAGAAGTCCTCAAATTGCGAGTAGAGTCCAATAGCCACATTGGCAAGGCCAATAACAATTGGGAAGTTGCCCAAGCCGGTGACGAATTGGTGGTAAAGACCCAATTGGATGATGGCGTGGTTTTTCAAGAAGTGGAAGATGTTTGTGTAAGAATCGAGCGAGGACAAGGCGCCGTGCTGAAGAACAAAGTAGTAGACCAACACCTTGGCCAAGGCGAAGATGAAGGGGTCGTACTTGTAGAGTCTGACGACGAACGAGATGTCCTCCTCCTCGTCGTCCTCGTCGGAGATCACCACAACTCTTCTGGAGAAGTTGACGTAGAACGAGATGAGCAAGGGCAACAACACGGCGTAGATGACCCAATTGCCAAACACAGACAAGACAGAAAACTCTAATAAGGCAGAGAAGTCGGGGGATGGCCACGAGCTCGTCTGCAATCTGGGGATGTTGTCTCTGAAGACCTGGTGGATCAGGTTGTTGTGCTTGACAGGCACAATTGGCACATTGGTGTACAAGAAGAAAGCAGCCTCAGCAACAACCTCCAAGTAGTTCAAGGCCACGACTCTGGACAAGGACTCTCTCAAGTCGTCGTTGACGTCCAAAGTGGTGAGGCCAATGGAGTCGGTGAAGTCCAACACCTTGGCTCTAGCTTGCTCAAACACATCAATTGCTGGGTCCACCACCCATTCCTGGAAAGAGAGTGGGGCAGGAGCATTGTAGTCCTTGTCCTCCTCCTCGACCTCGACGGCAACGGAAACCTCCTCCTCATCCTCGTCGTCGTCGTCCTCAATCAAGGTAGCAACCTCGTCCTCAAGGCCGGCAGACTCAATCAACTCTTTTGCTCTCTCGGGCTGCTCGTCGATGAAGCTCTCGATTTTTTCAAGCAACAGCTGCTTGGTGTCCTTGGAACGGACGGAAATGCCAACTTTTCTGGCGACCTTGGCCAAGTCGGCTTTCTTGAACGCTTTGAATTCAGACATGGTAGAAGAACAGTGTTGTAGGGGCACAGATGTTTGGCGCTGCGGCAGTTTGTTGATGAAAACAGAACCCGTGACACTTGACAGAAAAAACAGTGAAGCTCAAAATGCGCCGGCGACTCGTTACAGAAAAGAGCGTCCACGCTTGTTTACACTCGTGTGTTTATCTTCTTCCATTTTGGGCGCGCCGTACCGTTACTGAGTCCATGTGGGAGACCCAGGCGAGCCAATTGTTGAGCTGGTGACGAGATATACAATAGTGTAGCGGAGTGTGATTGGCTGGGAGGGCGGATTTTTTGTTGTTTTGGCCCGGTGGGTTTTTCTGATTTTTTGGTTCCACTGGTGGTGTTGTGTTGGATGTGGTAGGGTGTGGCGCTCATTGTTTGCAGCCAACCGGGGTAGTGAGACGCTACAGGGTCGTTTTTATGGTGGAGGTTTTTATTGCTTTTTAACTAGGGAAGGTCAAAAGGGAGGGAGAATAGTATAGAATCTGAGTTTTTAGAGCCATTAGGCATGATTGGGTGGGTTGATTTGCAGCCACTGGTGCTCAGCTGAACTAGGTACCGCAGATTCTCCACACCACGGTAGCATGGTCTGGCGTTTTTAGCACTACAATCAAAACAGCACTTCAATTGCGTTTTCTCCTGAAGCTTTTCACATTATATAACCTTAACCTCGACTTCTTCTACGAAGTACCCGTACTCTCCAGGTAGTAGTTGGAGATCTGGTGCATCAACACCGCAACTGAGAGAGATGCCCGATTGCGTCTGGGGCTTATAAACAGCAATTGCTCCTCCCCAAATGGCTGAATTTGCCTTTGCATGTAGAATTCTCGAGTTTCTTAATAACCTTTCAATATGTTCCTTCGGCATGTACAGTCCACAAACCATCTCCATGGAAGCTTACTTTGCATCAGCGAAGCTTTCTGGATTTTCAGCGGTTTCCCAATGGGGCTTTTCTGATATTACCGGCTCGCTTGGGTTGCTAGGTGCCTTTTCGCAACCATTCTTACACACCCATACGCGGCCATAGTAGAGAGAGGACAGAACCAAAAATTGTGCTTTTCACAGGACACCTCATAAATTCAACAATAGGCTCCACCGTTCTGGCCCCGGCCAGCCAGCCGTATTGTTTTCGTGTTTTGCACGTGACTGCGCACGTGACCAAATATTTACCTTTTCAACCTTTCTGTAAAGGCTCATTTCATGATCCTTCCCTTTTGAGGATTCTAATAACCGTCATTAAGCTGATCGCCACCAGCCCCTGCTTTAAATAAACATCGGACGACTATTGCTCTACCAGAGCTCCCACATCATGATTTCCAAAAGGGCATTGCTGCTATCGACGCAGTGGTCCCGACATATTCATCACAGTGCCATCCTAAGGCAACCCAATAAAGACAAAGAGCTACCCCGAGTCAATCAGCTAGGAATCCAGTACTTATCCAATGATATTCACAAAAAGGTGTTTCCCAAGAACCCTCCCAATGCATATCAAACCGACAAAAACCCAGAGCTTCTCAAATTGACGAAAGAGCATCTCCAGCACAACCACCTCCTAGGCAAGAAAACCAACATCTCAGAGCCCATCACGATACCCAATTTGCCCGATCTCGTAGGTAAGAATACCTTGGACGAGCATTTCACCAGAATTGGCTATGATGCTGCACAACCTTACCTAGACATGGCCCAGCGGTTCTTCAAATCCGATCTAAAACTACCGAAGCAACCAAACAAGTGGGAGTTCCAAAGCGGCTGGTTCCGCTATGCTCCTGGCAAGAAGCCGGAAAAGGTGGACTACCCACTCGAAAACGAATTGGTTTTTGACGTCGAGGTCATGTACAAAGCATCGCCTTATGCTGTCCTCTGCACGGCAGTGTCACCCGAGGCATGGTACGGATGGGTGTCTCCCATACTCACAGGTGAGTCAAAAAACTGGAATCAGCTCATACCCTTCAACACCCAGATCGACGAGAAGCTACTTATCGGCTACAATGTCAGTTATGATAGAGCACGTATTCTCGAGGAATACAACATAAAGGAGTCAAAAGCCTTCTTTCTAGATGGAATGGCACTCCACATTGCATTGAGTGGAATCTGCTCCCAACAGCGACCCGCATGGGTGAAACACAAGAAGCATAAAGTTGCATTAGAGGAGACGGGAACCGAGGACGCAGACCTGGGAGCTGCAGATACTGAATCAGACTTCTCCTTGACAGATCTTGCACGAGAATTGACTGAAGACCCCTGGCTCAATAAAGGCGCCACCAATTCGTTGGCCAATGTCGCAGAGTTCCACTGTGATATAAAACTCGCAAAGGACATACGAGACACTTTTGCTACGGAGGATAAATCTGAGGTGGTGGACAACTTCCAAGAACTTATGAACTACTGTGCCCTGGATGTCACTGCTACTTATCAAGTGACGAAAAAATTGTTCCCTCAGTTTAGGGAAAGAAACCCCCATCCAGTTTCCTTCGCTGCGCTCAAAAGTCTTGGAAAGCTCTTTTTGCCAACAACACGCAAATGGGACCAGTACCTTGAAAGCGCAGAAGCTGTATATCAGCAAAATCGTGACGAAGTCGGTACCATTCTACAAGATCGCGCCAACGAACTCATTCGCTACATCACTGAAAAGAACGAAGCACTCAAACCGGATATCGAGAACGATCCCTGGCTCAAACAGCTCAACTGGACGATCAAAGAACAACGACTCCGTAAGGATGGAACTCCCACCGCCAAACAGGCTTACTTAACGGGTTACCCTGAATGGTATAGAGAGTTGTTCAAGACAAGTTCAGACAATGGAGACAAGGGCAGGGAGATGAACATCACTGTACGGACAAGGATTACACCATTGCTTCTTCGCCTCAGGTGGGAGGGCTATCCCTTGATCTGGACAGACTCCAATGGTTGGTGCTTCAAAGTGCCATTTGAAGATGAGATCGTTGATGCTATGCTTGCAAAGAATTACACAAAAGCTCGCTTGACTAACGAGGAATTTGAGGCCATGCTACCCGAGTTGCGTGATAATGGCGTTTACGAGTTGTTCAAAGTTCCACATCCAGAGGGTGCCAGAAGACGCTGCACGATAATTATGTCCAAAAGCTATCTTAGGTACTTTGATAGCGGTGTTCTTACCTCAGAGTATGACTATGCTACCAAAATTCTCAGTTTGAATGCCACCGCTTCTTACTGGACTGGTAACAGAGCACGTATCTCCGAACAATTCGTCGTGTACTCCGATACCCAAGGAAAGGAGAACAGCTTCTTCAAGACCAAGAAGGACCGTACAGCGCATTCGGATATGGGAATGATAATACCAAAGCTTTGTACCATGGGAACTATCACAAGACGTGCGACAGAAAACACTTGGTTGACCGCATCCAACAGTAAGGCAACTCGAATTGGATCTGAGCTCAAAGCAATGATCGAGGCACCCACGGGCTACGCATTCGTCGGCGCTGATGTTGATTCTGAAGAGCTTTGGATTGCATCTTTGATTGGTGACTCAATGTTTCGTATTCATGGTGGTACATCTTTAGGCTGGATGACTTTGGAAGGCGACAAGTCCGAGAAGACTGATCTACACTCCAAAACTGCCGAGATCATGGGGATTCTGCGGAATGATGCGAAAATCTTCAACTACGGAAGAATTTACGGTGCTGGTGTCAAGTTTGCTACTCGCCTCTTGAAGCAGTGTAACGCGAGCTTATCAGATGACGAAGCTCAAAAGCTCGCAGTGGCTTTGTATGAACAGACAAAGGGTCAAAGTTGTAACTCGAAGATTTTTGGCCGCCGTGTGTATCACGGTGGAACAGAATCTGTGATGTTTAACGCCCTTGAGGCCATTGCATATCAAGATCGTCCTCAAACGCCTGTTCTCGGTGCTTCCATCACAGATGCATTGACTCAAAAGTATCTCAACAAGAATAATTACTTGACATCGAGAATCAACTGGACAATTCAAAGCAGTGGTGTGGACTACTTGCACTTGCTTGTCATATCGATGGAGTACCTTCTCAAAAGGTACAAGGTTGATGCCCGGCTTATGATCACAGTGCACGATGAAGTGAGGTATATGGCGAAGGAAGAGGATGCATTGAAATGTGCACTTCTTCTTCAGATCTCCAATCTCTGGACCCGTGCAATGTTCTGTGAGCAGCTAAGGATTCTCGAGCTTCCACAATCTTGTGCCTTCTTCTCCGAAGTTGATATCGATCATGTTTTGAGGAAAGAGGTTCTGCTCGATTGCGTGACACCATCACATCCAGATCCTATCCCCGCTGGCAAATCCTACGACATGACATCTCTCATGAAAGCCATTGATGCGAAAGACATACTCAAAGCTAAGAGCAGTGCCTCCAAAACAGCATCAAGTGTCGCCTTTTCGCCTCGCTTGCCTGTAATCAGTTCACTTCAAGCTGATTGTTCAGAGAAGATGCAGATTGAGAGATTAAGACTTCAGAACTCCACAGATAAGGATGACTGGAAGCTTAATGTGATGCTTTACAGCCAGGCAGAGAAAGAGGAGAGGAGAGCCATCGCCAAACCTGCTCGTAAAGCTCCTGCTACGAAGAATGTTCGGAAGAGAAAAGCTGAGGAGGAGCCAGACTTGGTCAAGGATGGTAATGCATCTCTCTTGGAAGAGGTCAAAAGCACTGCTGATGTGCCAAAGACGAAACCAAGGGCTGCAACCAAAGTGAGAAAAGAAACTCGCAAACCAAACTGGACCATGAAAACCCAAAAAAGCTCATCGGCAAAGAATGACGAGCGGACCAAACTGGCTTTTCCAATTCCACAAACTGCGAATACTTCCAGGGCTAGGTTCACATCCACTTCGCAATATGTCCCATCATCGTTTTATTCCACTGTCAACGGCGCCTGGGGCGGCCGAACAGTGAGCAGATCCAGCGCCGGCAAAAAACGAGGACAATTTTTGAACTTTACTAAATTCAACACAGTGCCTAAAAAGCAGAATTTTGCACCCACTCAGAGAAGACTCCACATGAGGGCCTACTGGCCCAAGATTGACGATCACAACTTTGAGCGACCGAGAATGCTTCGCCACGAGATAGAGCAAAGAATTAAGCCCAAGCGGCAAAAGGAGATTTTTCGACGACATTACTTGCCCTGATGCGTGAAATGTCCTTTGGACCGTTCATGATTCCCACCTCATTCTCTGGATCAAGCGAACCCGGCTGTTCAAAGTGTGCCGTCTGTGCTACAAACCAGCACCCGCCCATATAATTGACTTGTTTTTATCGAGGCATCATCCAGCTTACCCTGCTGTCGAGACTATTGCTTCTAACTACGATTCATTGACTAGGCGTGCTGACTTAGAGTATATGGAAGACGTTCCGCTAGAGCACCGCTCCTCAACCACGCAGAAGACCCCGCTTTAACAAGGCCTACGATATTTTACGACAAAGATTCCAGACGAATCCATATAATCGCTCTGCAGAGCACTTGCATAGAATCATGGCAACTGCCAAAATGTACATTACGATCAAGACTGTATACTTGTAGCATAAGCGAGTAGCGCATGAACTCTTCTCGAACCACTTGAAACTATCGTGATTCTGAAAGCGAAACATTAAATATGCTAGATCACATTGTTACACTCGATCTCCCTTTTGAGACGGAAACCCAGGCAGAAATAGCCATGAAGACCATGTCTGTGGACCCCATATTGAAGAAAGACGAAATCAAAGTGGACTACACCATACAAAGCAATTTACTCACATGTCGATTTGCTGGTGTCAGCGATAGAGTCATCCGAGTCGCCGTCAGCAGTGCTATAGACAACATCAAGACAATTATTGAGTGCATGGAAGAGTTTGACGGGAAGGAGAAGGTTGTTTTCCAAAAGGAGGAGTAAACGATCCGATGTTTGAGAAAGAAGGGTTGGGCAGATTCGTCGAGGGGAAATGTCGGTTTCTTCTCGAGCCTTTAATAATGGGCTTCGTTTTGGGATAAATTCACATAAGCCCGTTTAGTGGTGTTGAAATGTCGTGGTTCAACCATCGAAAGGGTGACACCGACTGGGAATAATGTCTCAAGTCCGTTGTGACAGGTATCCCATGATGGTTTTTGAAAGTATGGCCAGTAAGTGACCCACACGACACAGCTCAACCAATTTGCATCACAATCAGGCGTGGATTGAAGTAAGCATGGCCATTGGGCCTAGTACATAAATAATGAAAAAGTGTGCTGATTCACAGACAAATCTTTAAATCGACATAACGCAAATGCAAACGAAGCTGTACGATCTCCATAAAAAACTCAATATCTTATTATTTCTCCATCTCCCACCAAACCTACCCCAGGTGAAGTCGCATCGCGAAGTATTAGTTCTGATCCACTACTACTCATTCTCGATGATATGAAGCTTCCTGGCTTAGTGAGTAGGACCAGCAGGCGCCTGCTTTTCCAGAATTTCCGAAAAGTGCCCTTCAAGGAAGAAGATAGCGGAAAACATCACGAATACTCCATCAGACCAGATACCTTTGCATTCAAAGTCCTGAACGACCCCAGCAAAAGAGACTCAATTGGAGCACATCCGCTTCAAAAAGGACAGGGCAGTGAAAGCTCCTTCAATGTCTTGGAGTATATCTACAAAAACGCCACAAATTATCCCTTCAAAGACCACAGTCCTCAGGATGTGTTCAACAAGTACCCAGAAACGAATGCTGCCAAGATGGCTAGACTAAAAACGAGGCCTCGTAAAACAAAGATGCTTGTATCAGACTTCATTGACGATTCGCTTTACAACCCTCATTATGGGTACTTCTCCCAAGAAGTCGAGATCTTCCACAAGGACAAGCCGTTCGACTATAACGAGATTGAAGACGTTGACGAGTTCATGGATGCCTGGAAGAAGGCTTATACAAAGTATGACGAGCTCAATCCGGAAGTGAACAAGGTCAAGGCCGAGAGAGCTCCAACTGAAGATAAGGAAGCAAAGCCCAAGTCGTCTAGCAAAGCATTGATCTCACCACAAGATATGCCTCGAGCATCTCCAACATCCAAATTCGCTAAAGCAGCGCAAACAGTGCATCGTCAAGATTTGGTGGCTAGTGGAGGTTTTCCAGAAACGAAAAAGTCACACCAGCTTTGGCATACACCCACAGAGCTCTTTTCTCCGTACTACGGTGAAGCCTTGGCCAGATTCATTGTCGTGAATTACAAGCTCAATGGGTACTATCCATACGATGATCTCATAATCTACGAAATGGGCGGTGGAAATGGTACACTCATGTGCAACATCTTGAATTTCATAAAGCAAAACGAGCCAGACATCTACAGAAGAACCCAGTACAAGATCATTGAGATCTCTGATCAATTGGCTCTCAAGCAGTACTCTCAAGCGCTAGGCCAGAAGCTTGTGTCACAAGGTCTTGACCAGAATAAAGTGCAGATCATCAACAAGTCGATCTTTAAGTGGGACAAGGTAATCCATGATCCCTGTTTCTTCATAGCATTGGAGGTGTTTGACAACTTTGCTCACGATGTCATCCGTTATGATATCACCACTGGCGAGCCATACCAAGGTCATGTTCTCGTAGACGAATCGGGAGACTTCTACGAATTCTTCACCCCAGAATTGACGAGATACGCTGACGCATACTTGAGTTTGAGAGAAAATGGCAGCTTCCCAATATTACCCCAGACAAAGAATATGATGGGCAAAATGCTTCTGTTGAAATCAATGGCGCCTTTCGTCAACACCGACAACATACACCCTTTGTTCCATTCGACCTTCAAAGCGTCGGTCAAGGATAAACTCCTCCCTTTCAAGGACCATCTTACACCGGGAGAGTTTATTCCAACCAGACTTCTTCAATTCTTCCAGATCTTGAAGCACAGGTTTCCAAACCACACACTCATAAGTTCAGATTTTAATTATTTGCCAAACACAATGCCTGGCTACTACAATGCCCCAGTGGTCCAGACAGTCATCAAAGACAGAATGGTGGATGTGTCTACCTACATGTGCCATCAGGGCTATTTCGATATCATGTTTCCTACAGACTTTGCCTTGGCTAGTGACATGTACAAACAGGTTACGGGCAAATTGGCTCGGGTAGAGCTGCACAAGGAGTTTTTGCAGCAATGGTCTGATGTGGAGGCAACCACTACCAAGAAGGGAGAGAATCCCATGCTCGACTTCTACAAGAACGTGAGCTTCATGGTAAGCTAACGCAGTCAACATTTCGATACTTGTATATATTAAACCAAACCCATTCACCTGTATGCACCGAATGTAGCTATGGCATGATGTTGATGGCACTAGAGAAGAGTCGTATGGTTTTCTCGACTCCATTCTGTGCGGCTGCCATAGCTACCGAGCTGAGTGATTTGACATTCTGAACGTATGTGTTGAGCCAAACCAACATGTCTGAGACGAACTTTGTATCTAACAAGCTCATAGTTGCATCGATGACACCGTGAGTCCAGCTCACGATGCTGTCGCCAAACGCTTCTGCAAATTTGTCCAACGACTTGACCTCTGGAACCACATTCAGAGGAACCCGTGGCGTTGATACCTTAGAAAGTATCTTCTCGCATGCTGCTGAAGCGTAAAGCTTTGCTGAATCGTAGAAGTAAACGGCAAACACACTGGCCGCACCACTGGCCACAGTCACTCCAACTCCAAGACCCATGGAAAAGCTGCAAATTAGCCACACGTTTCTAGCAGGCACTAAAGACCAGATCCAAGAAGTGAGGCTTTGAGAGCCACCCACACGCTGGAGCTGTAAATCGTCGCTAGAATTGTGAATTCCCAAAAGGGCCTTGGCGATACGATAAATGTGTGCAAAGCTGTGTGCGTCCGAGGAGAGCCTCAATGGGTCTGTGTTGCTGAAGCTTTGGGACATCAGAAGCTCAGAACGAATCTGCCGCTCGATGCCCTTGTAGTATGGCTTGCTGGGTCTTACCAAGCTGTCATACATGGAATTGGAGGCGTTGAGAGCATCTCCATCCACAACATTATCGTCAGCCGTTTCTCCACGCTGGTGCTTCCTCTTATGAGCTTCGAACTCCTTGGCGTACCGGCCGCCAGAAGTGTCGAGGAGCTCGTCTTCCACGAAGCTCTTGATTCTCGTAAGGAACGCGTCGCTGTACAAGGAAGGACATTTCCAGATTTGGAAGGGCCGCCAGGCGGAGATCAAGTCGACAAGATTGACGAAATAGTTGGTGGTGACAATGTTGATTATGGTGAGCTTGGGGAGATCTTTCTGGCCCTCAGCGGCGGCCAAGAGAACCTCAGGGATGGCCATAGTGCCGTCATTGACAATAAACACCAAATCTGAAGACTGAAGCATGGACACATCGAGCTTCAGCGGACCGCTTGAGACCGCCAAGTGAGAGATCTGGATGCGCTGCATCAACAGGCCAAATGCGTCTCTGAAGAAAGCCGTGAGCTTCAGCGTCTGGCTCTTCATGTTGCTGTTGCCAGAGGTGACGATAGTGAGGCGGTAGCGGTGCTGAGGATCAGATAAGGATATCTTGGGCATGATGAAGGAGGGATTCAGAGGGAGCGCTATCTTGCGCTCTGGTCTCTCCTCGGTCAACGTGGAGTCGTCGTCGTTAAACTGTGGGCACGAGCCGTACTTCCTGGGCATTTCAGGAAGCTCCTCTGCCTCGGACTCCTCGTCAGTTTCAAAGACCATCACCAGACCTTTGGCCAGGGGCACAAGCACCATGCTTTCGTCCTCCGACAGCAAAATCAGCAGCAGCGGTTTGAAGGAGCTTGGCGATCCGCTGGAGCGAGCTGCAAACAACAGACGTGTCACGGATTCAGGAAGGTGGAGGTTCTGCCACAGCAGGAAGGTAGATGTGAGTCTCAGGTCCATGGGCCCAGGAGAATGGGGGATGTTGACATCGAGATCTGGGTTTGTGAGGGCGTTGTAGATGGAGGCGTGCAGCTCAAGGAGCTTTCCCAGAGACGCCGAGTTCTCCTGGTTCTCCAGGTTCATTGTGGAGGCTGGCTATTCAGATAAGACGGAGTGGGGGAGGATGTTGTTTAAAGGAAGCCTTCTTCAAGAATAGTCTTCTTGTGCAAAAATGCGTTTGTTTTGGGTGGCCTCGGAGGATTAGAAAGAAGGACCCTTTGTTTGCAACGGTTCTGAGGTGTTGCTTGGAGGGGTTTGATGAGGAGCACGCGGGGCCGGTATGGGAGGGGGGCTCGAGAAATGTTGGTTTCGTGACGTGGATCGAAAGAAGCCGTGGAGCGTGACGGGATGGGTTAAAAAAAGTTTAGATTTGTGAAAAAAAGGAAAAGAGTTTCAGGGATACGGGGTTCTTTTATCTTTTGTGTATTTGGCTTCTGCGTGGGTGGCGTGTCTGATATCTGGTCCACTGTGGCTGCTCCGGAGTTCCAAATCGGGACGATAAGGTAGCTCGGAGGGTGACTAGGGATGTTTTTGAACGGAGAAGAAGATTTCAATCGATTTGGCGGATTTTACAAAAAAGACCGATTTCGGAAGAACCATCGAGTCTAGGCTACCTAGACCATCCTTATCTATTCGCAGCCAACCGACTCGGCCTCACCGATTGGGCAATTCCCCCGATACCGGGGTGGCCTGCTCGTATAATATAAGATCTAATTCAGTAGAATTTCCATCCGTGGTTTTGACTTTTCTATCGCTTGTCTCTTGTTGCGGCTCTTTGACACCATGCGGCTGATAAGGCAACGACTCAGGGGAGCGCCATAGTAGCAAGGCAAACGGGGCTGTTCCGGGGAGTTACACAAACGGGAAGATAAGAAAAAGCAGGATATTCTGAAGCATAGGAAATTGAAAAAAGAGCAGAGAAAGGGGTTTCTAGAGGTTTTGTGGTCTTATGACTGATATGCCGCTGTCTCTTAAGCTCGCAAGATCGTAGATAATATCTGCAACAGCGGCAGCCTCAACGGTGCGGTGGACCGGTGGAGGGACCCTCGAAGTATAAAAGTCAGCGTTTTCGCTGTTTCATGAATTTGCATTCCTTCTTTTTTCTACTCTCCTATGATCGAAATGTGTTGGAAGGGAAGATTGCATCTACTTGCTTCGGGGGACATGTCGTAGCATTACACGACAAATGTCTGCCTGAGGGGTCCACTGCAAGAGAAGTGAATCACCGGGGTCCCCACTAAGCCTGGACTGATGGTCTAGATGTCCAAAGGTGTAGGGATTTAGTGCAGAGGCTTCGAAAATGGGTGATTGTTAAAATGGATCTGAGATCGTTGGAAGGTGGTGTACGTGGATCGATCGGCATTCTTCGATCTGTGTTTCTAGTTACCCTGTGCAACTGAGTCTACACCTCAGTCTACACCGCAGGGCTAGCTAAAAGAACAACAAAAGGCCATCAACTGCATGTTCATGGTTCTTTTTGAGTCGTTTTTCGCCAACAACAAATGTGTGATTTCTCGATCAAAGTATCTATCTTGTTGATTGTATATCTGTTGTCCAGCTGCTCCATAGCCTCGCCTGGAACGGTGCACCTCGTGGTCCGCTGCACCGCCTTGCGGTTAGCCGCCGTGGCACAGCACTTTGAATTTGAATCAGGCGGCAAAAAACTTCAAAGGAATTTACGAAATTATGATAGAAGTTGTTGAAGTCTGTTGGAGTGGTCTCGATGTGAGTGAAGCCTGGAAGGTGCATGAGGGCGCAGCTGGCTGGTATTTTGCAGCCATTCCACACCGAGACACGTCGCCGAGTGCCACATTGCAATTTGAAGAAGTTGGATGAAAAGTGTAGATTTTGTAGTGAAGGCGTGGGTTTCTAATGAAATAGCGAAAACGTCAAAGAAATCCACTTCAAAAGTCTATGGTGGAGGCATCGTCGACTTGTTCTGTTGCATCGTACTCTCCAGTCCATGCCATCTCCCTCCAGCTCCACCTGATTCTCATCAAACTCCAAATATACCAATGTAAGAATCATCCTTTCAACAATATACCACATTCTTATTTTCGATCGTTATTCCACTGTCAAACTCTATTGGGGTCTGCCGCGTCAGGTCTACATGATTCCAGACCTCACCCACCAGTTCCCATCATACCCACCAGTTCCCAATCAGAAAAAACAAAAACACCCAAAAACACCCCCAAATCAACCTCCACCTCCAACTCCCCCAATTCCAGAAACACCCACTTTTTTTTCCTCACCCGTCGCCCAAACACGCCTGGTGTGTTGATTCCTTCCCGTTGTGACTTATGCTCGCTACGCTGCATCTCCACCGAACAACTACTCCAACACCATGGTCGACGACAAATACATCGGGCTTGCGCTCGCCATGCTGTCGTCGTTGGCGATCGGCACCTCCTTCATCATCACGAAAAAGGGCCTCATGGACACGTCCAACAAATCGGGCACCGACAACGCAAACTCCCACCAGTATCTTCAAAACCCCATCTGGTGGGCGGGCATCATCACCATGGCTGTCGGCGAGGTGGCCAATTTCGCTGCCTACACTTTTGCGCCTGCTATTTTGGTGACGCCGTTGGGGGCTCTTTCTGTCATTATTGGTGCTGTTTTGGCCGCCATCTTCTTGAAGGAAGAGTTGGGTGTTTTGGGCAGAATGGGCTGTGCCATCTGCCTCATGGGCTCCGTCATTATCGTGTTGCACGCTCCTCCTGACAAGGAGGTGGAAACCGTCGACGAGATCTTGGACTACGCTACCCTGGCGGGGTTCCTCTTCTACTCCTTCTTGGTCACGGTCTACTCCTTGTTCACCATCTACAAGATCGTGCCCAAGTACGGCCACACAAACCCCATGATCTACATCTCCATCTGCCTGAGTGTGGGCTCCATCTCCGTCATGTCCATCAAGGCCTTTGGCATTGCCCTCAAGTTGACGTTTGCTGGAAATAACCAGTTCACTCACATGTCCACCTACGTGTTCATTGGCGTGGTGGTGGTCTGCATTCTCACGCAAATGAACTACTTTAATAAGGCCCTTGACCAGTTCGACACTTCCATCGTCAACCCGCTTTACTATGTGACTTTCACCACTTGCACGCTTGTGGCCTCGTTCATCTTGTTCAAGGGCTTCAACACCACATCGGCCGTCAATGTGATCTCCCTTTTGATTGGATTTTTGGTCATTTTCTCCGGCGTCTACCTCCTCAACATCTCCCGCAAGGAGCACGGCGGTTTTGACAAGGAGATTTTCGGTGTGCACCAGGGCAAGGACATGGGACCCTTAGACAACGGCGTGGGCGGTTTTTCCTCGATGAGAAGATCCATGCAAATGAACAGAGGTGAGTACGAAGCCGAAGAGACCTTGGGATTGCGTCGTTTCGACTCCTTTGAATTGGGCTCAGACGAGGAAATGGAGTCTCACCAGCGCAGGTAACCCTGCCTTTTCGCCTGCGTTGTAAATCAAAATATTTATGGCAAAAGCCGTCATCCGCTGACGACTCCAGCTTGCTATCATTCAACAAACAGGTGTTGTGGAGGGGTCCTGGTCAAGGTAGGTATGCACCTGCCTGCAGTCTATCAGCACAGTTATGTAGTAGTAAATACTCACCTACACCATCATCAATATGGGTGTAAGTCTCTCCCTTTTAGCACCACAGGCACACACGGTGGCTCTAAGAGCCTACGTGGATGTGTTACCCGGCTTCACCTTCCTTGATGTACTTAACGATAGTCGGTTCCTCAAAACCATCAGAGCATATGACACAACCGACCACACTCTCGTGGTCATCAAAGTATTCATAAAACCACCTGCAGTGGGCATCAAACTTCCAGACACTGCTGAGCTTCTAGGAAAAGAGGCGCTGCTTCTATCATCCCATCCAAATGTGCAGCCCTGGCACAGAATCATTGAAACTGACCTGGCAGGTTACATGATCAGACAGCTCGTCAAGTCCAACTTATACGACCGTCTTTCGCTACGACCTTTCCTTGTACCTGTTGAGAAAGCATGGATTGCTTTTCAGCTCCTCAATACTTTGCAATTGCTCCATGACCAGCTAAACATATGCCACGGCGACATCAAGACTGAGAACCTCCTCGTGTCGTCCTCCAATTGGCTAGTTCTTTCGGATTTCTCGAGTCACATCAAGCCAGTGCATCTTCCTGGCGACAATCCAAGTGAGTTTGTGTTTTACTTCGACAGCTCTAACAGAAGAACTTGCTACTTGGCCCCAGAGCGGTTTTACCAGGAGAAAGCACCGGCACAGTCTGTGCTCACCAGCTCAATGGACTTGTTTTCGGCAGGGTGTGTGATTGCAGAGCTTTACAATGACGGCGAGCCAACCTTTACTTTGTCTGACTTGTTTAAATTCAAGAAAGGCGAGTTGGAGCCCAACATCTCGAGCATTTCGGATAGCAATGTGCGTCAATTGGTAAATACGTTGATTAGTATCGAGCCTTCTGACCGTTCGCTGGCTCATGATCTTCTTGACGAGTACAGAGGTACTTTATTTCCAGAATACTTCTATGACTACTTGTACAAGTTCATGTGTGACATTAACAACGCCGAGCTTCATGTGGTGGCAGAAAACAGCGACTACGTTTCGCCTAGTGATTCCCGGTTGGAGATGATTTACGACTCGTTTGAGGACATCACAAGAGCTCTCCTGTTTTCCTACGATTCTGATACACCTCCAGTGCGTTACTCTGGCCCAGTCTTGAAGATAAATTTGGGAGGTCTACCTGAAGACTACACCATACGTAAGGTTGAACAAGAGGAGGCTGGAGCGTTGATCTTGTTGAACACCGTGTGCTCACTTTTAGGCACCCTCAAACGCCCGGGTAATAAAATAAAGGCCTGTCAAATCATCTTGGCGCTTTCTGAAAGAATAAGCGATGATGCAAAGCTTGACAGAGCGCTTCCTTACATCTGCAGCTTGATAGATGAATTTTTGGAGGAGACTGGTTTTTCTCAGGCTACATATACTACGAATGATGGCAACAATTTCCCACCACACACCAATCTCTCCACGAGAGTCCCTTGCGTTGCACTTTTGGCAGCCACAAATTTGCTCGAAAGTTGTGTTTCTATCAACGCCATCAATTCCCAACTTTTCACAGAGTATTTATCACCACTCTTGAAAAGCATTGCATTTCTCAGTTCAGCTCACAAGGAGGAAGTGAGGTACCTTCGTTTAACTCTTGCTACATGTCTTCCCTACTTGGCATCGGTATCGGAAAGATTTACTCTCAGCTCAAGGCAATACCGCTCAAGCACAACCCAATTTGCATCAGATGTGAGCAATGGGGAAGCTGCCCCGGAACTGGACTCGATAAGACAGCGTTCACTTACAGACTTCAAAGATCTCACCGAGGCCCTTCTTACCGACCCAGATGTTGCTGTTCGCATAGGTTTGGTGAATGAAATCTTACCGCTCTGTGAATTTTTTGGAGCAGACAAGACGAATGACCTAATTCTTCCACATTTGATTACTTACTTGAACGATCCCAGCTACCAATTACGTCTTGCATTTTTATCCTCCATTATCAAAATAGGGCCTTTTATCGGTACCTTAGCTTTCGAGCAATACTTATTACCCTTACTTTTCCAAACGCTAGGAGATCACGAGCTGTCTGTCGTTCTCAAGATTCTCGAAATTTTCCATCATTTCTTAAAGGAAAAGCTCATCAATCCAGCTTCCGAGTTCAATGCATTGTCCATATACAAGGAGGTGCTTACCAACTGCTCTATACTACTCCTTCAACCCAATGAATGGATCCGTCAATCGGTCCTTAATATAATTTTGGTGGTGAGCGACAATCTTCTGAATGCTGACAGGTTCTGCTTCCTATACCCCATCATCAAAAGTTACCTATCCTATGACATTTCCCTCATGAATTGGCAAACTTTATATCCTTGCGTCACCAAGCCACTTCTGAAGCAGGTTTACGAGACAGCCCTCATTTGGTCGTCAAATGCAACAGGTAAGTCACTATTTTGGAAACAAACCACTTTTTCTGCTATCAACCAAATGAACGGAAGAAGGAAGTTGGTGTCTTACTCTAAGGATATGGGAAAGTCAGTCTATGTTCCCCACTCCACAAGCAGCTCAATTGGTGAAAGCAAGAGGCTGAGTGATATTGCGTTGTCATCTGAGGATAAGCAGTGGATTCTTAAGCTCAAATCAGTTGGCATGGAAGAGAAGGATCTTTGGAAGGTGTTTGCTTTGAAAGATCATTTTATCAGTCTTAATCGCTCAAAACTTCATGCTTCCAGCAATAGTCAGGAGGAGTACAACATGGCGGCGAAAGTTAACGTACCACCTATCAATGTCTTTTTCGATATATGTTTCAAGACTGAACCAATAGACAGCCATGCGAAGACCATCGAAAGCGTGCCTGCTCCTGATGTCAGAGAGACTGGCTCCATCCGCTCCACCAACGAAGGTAAGGGATTATTTTTCTCCAGCACTCAAAAAGCAAAGGCATCATCGCAGACAGTGGCAGCCAATGTTCTCGGCGAGCTCGAAATAAGTCATAGCGATGGTATTGGAGCTCACAAGTCTCATCATCATCACCATCGTCATCAGCAAACTCGAGACGCGTACCTGATACATAAAGTATTCGGGGCAGGGTCATCTAGTGTCATCTCTGCATCCATGAGACACAACTACCACGATGCCAATCCTCACATTTCTGAGTACCTTCGAAACCTTTCTTTCGGTCCGTCACTTGATGATTTTGCTGACTTCGGTTCTGTGATCAAGAACAGTGGTGAAGCTGCAGCCTTGCCTGAATTGAATCTACAAGGTATACTAGTAACTCTGATCAATGCCAAGAGTGACCCAAGCTCACACGAAATCATCACCAAAATTGTGGCCTGTCCAACTTCAGATTTCTTTGTCACTGGATCAGAGGATGGTAAAGTTAAGGTTTGGGATGCGAGCAAATTGGAGAAGAACACTATGTCCAAGAGTGCTAGTCTAGTCGTTGATTTGAAGAGTGCAGTCACGGATATAGTTTTTCTTCCCCATCGTTTCGTGTTTGCTGTTTCCACCGCTGATGGTAGAATTCGCCTATTCCGTGTGATAGTAGCAAGGAATAAAGCGAGAAAGATCACGAAGTACACGAGACTATTCAAGATTCGCAGCACGGACTTGAAGGATGGATTTGCTACGAGCTTACATTTTGCCACGACGAACGACAGATCTCTCTGTGTGGCGGTCACAAGCAGCTGCATGGTCGTCGCCATCGACATCATCACACTGGAGATATTCTTTGAGGTTCAGAATCCACTTATCCATGGTGTGCCATCGTCCTTCCTATTTTCGAAGAACGGTATTTGGGTTCTTGTTGGCACAACAGATGGCATCTTGTGTCTCTGGGACCTTCGCTTCCTTGTACTCGTGAAATCCTGGAGGGTGACGATTGATAGCTCTACCGTTCAAAAGTGCGCTATTCGAAAGCTTATCCTGGTTCCCAGCAGCAGCAGACTCACGGAAAAGCCTAACAGTAATAGCTATTTCGCAATGATTGGTGGACTGAGGGATGCTGACATTACAGTCTGGGAAATTCCCAGCTTCGAGTGTCGAGAGATCTACACAGCCAACACTGACAACCCTCAGATCAAAAAGTATGCTCTTCAGGAGATGAAGCTGGAGAAGGATGTGAACTTGGATGAGCTTTTCTCGGAATTCACCTTGGATCTTGACAGGCCCGTGGACGAAAGTCCTCTGACGCTTGACTTGATTCAACGTGGAGGCGTCAACCCGCATAGTGATGGGTACTTCGTCCTGACTACTAGCGACAGCAGCATAATAGTTTGGGACCTACAAGACACCAGAGCCTCCAGCCTGGTTTTCCACGACAAGAGCAACTTTGGTAGAACTCAAGTGAATTCTAGACTAAGCGTTGCCTACGAACAAAGCACGGGTAAAACAAATAAGAGAGGCTCGGACATTCCACGGTACGATGCCATTACAGGATTAGCAGTGTTGCGGCGAGCAAAACCGATGGTAGCTGCTGTGGAGCGCAACGGCAATATCAACATTTATCGATAGCCTTTCGGATTTTCCTTTATATCTGAATGTCTCACCTGCTAAAAAATATTATCCAACTCCGAGCGGTATGACAAGCTGACTTGCAGCGTGTGCGCAAAAACCGTTAGAGCAAAGTGTCGCAAAGCGCGAAAGATCCTGGGGTTAACGTTCGATTCCGTGTATGACGCTTGCCCGTACTGCACCCATAGTGTCTCCGAGTCTTGCGAAAGCTCATCAAGTTTCCGAGATTTTAGTTCACAGTTCAAAAATGGCTTTCGACGACGCCAAGGGCATGCAAATCGCTTTTGAGGAGGCTCAAAAAAGTATGTAATGCGGAGAAACTCCAATATTCCGGTCACGATACTAACGTCAGGTTACGACACTGGAGGAATCCCCATCGGAGGTGCCCTTATTCACGAAGATGGCACTGTCTTGGGCCGTGGCCACAACCTGAGATTCCAGAAGGATTCTGCCACTTTGCATGGTGAGATCGACACTTTGGAAAAAGCCGGCCGTTTGAAAGGCAGCGTTTACAAGAAGTGCACCATGTACACCACTTTGTCTCCGTGCAACATGTGCTCTGGAGCTTGTATCTTGTACGGCGTCAAGAGAGTCGTTATTGGCGAGAATGAAAATTTTGTTGGTGCCGAGGAGTTGCTCCGCTCGAAGGGTATCGAGGTGGTGAACTTGAATGACACCAAGTGCAAGGAATTGATGACTCGTTTCATTACCGAGCGTCCTCACGACTGGAACGAGGACATCGGCGAGTAATCGTCACAGATAAATAGTTTGTTTTGTTTCCGGTTGTTGGTTACGGATGGTTATGGGAGATAGGTGGCTCACAGAGTCAATATACAGACGGGGTATGACGATGTAGAGGTTGGGGGCAATTCAGAAAGAGAGTTTTATGAAGCTTTCAAATGCTACAGTTTACGATGCCCGGCTGGCTTTAAAGTAGATCTCTGGCTGCAAATGGGTGTACGGGTGTAAGTTATGTCAGAGCAGCACTGAACCCTCTCACTGATATAACCCAGCCCTATCCATGGACAGTATAGCTGATAGCATCTACACGGACCTTCCTGCGCCTGAAGAGCTAAATGACAATCCTTCGCTTCTAACACTTATATTCGAGCTTACGCCCAGATCCTGGTATGCTCTTCGCAACCAAGTCACCATCCAAGAAACAGTCAAGACTCTATTGGTATTCTTGAACGCCCACCTTTCACTCAACAACAGTAACCAAGTCTGTTTTATTTTATCACTGCCTTTTGGGTCAGAGATCTTGCATCCCAATGTTGAAAGTCTGTCCGAGGAACAGGATGTAGATGGCACTGGTGACAAGCCCACATTGGTCAACAAAGGCATGTACAGAAACTTTCGACTTGTTGACGAAATGGTGATGAGAAAGCTCAACGAAGCCTTGGATAGAATGTCAAAGGAGCTTGGAGAAAAGGAGAAGAATACGTCCACAGTTGCAGGTGCCTTGCTGCGAGCTTTGACTTACACCAACCGTTTATTGCATGTGGATCAGTCCATTTCCACCACAACTGCATCAGCCATTAATTCTACGGCATCTACAATGAACTCACTGGGCGGTTCAGGAAATTCGGGTAATGCCCTGACGACTTCGATGCACGCTAGGGTCCTTATTGTCACGCCCAACGACACTTACGAGTCCAATTACATAGCCATCATGAACTCCATTTTTGCAGCACAAAAGATGAAGGTTCCCTTGGACGTGGCCAAGTTAGGAGGACACCAGGCTCCATATCTTCAACAGGCGGCTGATGCAACCAATGGTGTGTACTTGCATATCAAGGAGCCCCAGGGCTTGATGCAAGTGCTTTCAACAGCATACTTTTTGGAGCCCTCTCTTCGTTCTATCGTCATTCTTCCGACGAATTCGAACGTTAACTATAAGGCAAGCTGCTTTATCACAGGAAAGCCCGTCGATATCGGCTTCGTTTGTTCCGTCTGCCTTTGCATCATGAGCAAGGTCCCCGAGCTGGGCCATTGTCCTACCTGTAGGTCGAAGTTTGACGAAAGGTTCTTGAAAAAGCTTCTTACTGGACCCACCATAGCACGTAAGAAGAGGAAAGTTGAAAATGGCGCTGCAAGCACAAACGGTGAATCTACAGCGACTCCAGAGGCCAAAAACACTACCGAGAGCTAAATTGGCCCTGGAAGATCATATTGGGGCTAAGAATAGATTATAGATTCCCAGTATGCTTGTCACGTGACCAAACCGCTATTAGGCCTGGGGTCAATATCGAGTTATCACAAACATGACTACCAGCAGAAAACGACAGAAAGTCGAAGACTCCAGTTTTCGGTACACCCAAGGCCCACTAGATGATGAATTTGGCCAACATGGTGCATTTCCCCTCAACAACATCGATAGCGATGACCTGGTGTATCGCTACTTGATGTCTGTACGAGAAGAGGCCAGAGCAGATCGGCTGTTCCACTACGTGGAGAGAGTCAAAAAGGAAAGTACAAGCGCTTCTTCTCACGAGGAGCATATTGTGCCACAGGAAAAAGTGGATGAGTTCATGAGTACTTTCACGGCTTTGAAGGAGGCCAGAGAAGTCCGGTTGGAGCGCTCCGAGCTCGACTACAACTGCTTCATACCCAACTCAGCAGCTCAATGGAGAAAGAAGGTGTTCTCGGAGCAGCCCGACGCAAACTTCCTCGAGGTTCTAGACCATACGACGGTCATCAAGCTCATAGTGTATTACACAAAGTGGCTACTGATGAGCATGCCTGAGGAATTAGGCAAGTGGATCTTCGTCACTTTCATTCGGCTAGATCGTGAGCTTGAGCACAAGGAGATGGCCATCGTCCGTGACTTGGCCAAGAAGGCCATCAAGATACGAGAGAAGATAGATGAACTGACGGATGAGTCTCCAGTCATACAGCATATCGTTGATATGATACTATCCATAGTCGCCATGCATTTCGGTCAGCGTGATCTCTTAACCAAGAGTACTTAGAGCTCACGCTGGATCGTGGTCATCAAAGCTGGTTTGACCGTCAGCGTCAAGTGCAGCGATAGCACAATTAATTAAAAGTATCAAATCAGCATCATCCATTAATAATTTATAGATATAATCTTGCCCAAACCGGACACCACCCAGGGCGGTCTGGCTTCTATGCATGCCGCGACCATTTTCCAACTATCAAACTTCAACGACTACTACTACAATATGTCCCGCAAGAGAGAAGACCTAGTGGTGCCGTATGCATACCAATTCCAATTTATCCCCAATAAGTACTAACATTCAGTTACCACCACGTTCCAGCTAAGGCTAGAGCCGATGCCGGAAGCATGATTTCCCAGACTCTCCCAATGGCTGCCATGTTCATGAGAAACAAGATCATGTCGTGGTCTGCTGTCTTTTTGGCCCTTCAGTCTTACCTTTCTGAGCCAATCAACAAGCCAGAGGAGGATGCTCAAGCTGGTTCTCAGCCTCCTTTGTTGAGATTGGTGTTTGCCTTGGTGTCCTTGCTGACCTGTTACCTCGACCTCTTCTTTCCAAGCACCAACCCTCAGATCAAGAAGTCTGCTCTTTCTAAGGCTGCCGAGACTGTGTCTTCGGTGGTGTCGGAGGCTACTAGCTGAGTCACTTGTTCCGTCGCTATAAATACATAATAATACAGAGTTACAGATTCGATCACTCGTAACCGTTCCACTTGAGCACAATGCTCTCGCTACCTTTGTAGCACACCGTAAGAAGCTCGTCCTTGCTGTCCCATGCTAGATCACAGATACCCACGTCCTTGGCGTTGTCTTGCTCTTTGAACTCAAAGAACCCTAGACACCGGAGGCTGGTGGTGGTTCCCCTGTAACGCTTAGTAGCTATGTCCCATACTGTCACATTGCCAGTGTCGTCTCCAATGGCCAAGAAGCGGGCGTCGTGGGACACGGCACTGGCGAATATTAAGGGATTGCTGGTGTCGATGGCATTGTGTTCGCCAAAGTGGTAACTTTCGGGACTCTTAAATATATTAGTGCTCTTGATGGCTTCTCCTGTGAAAGCGTCCCACACGTTAACCACACCATCCATAGACACAGAGAGTAACTCGTTGCCTTGGACGTCATTGGGTCCTGTGAGCCAGTGGAGGCCGATTATAGGTGATGTGTGGTAACTGATGTCGGCATCGTTTTCGCTGGCCACATTGAGCTCCAATGCATCGCGGGAAGACAGGCTGTTCCACACCTTGATGGCGTAGTCGACGTCGGAGGAGGACGCTAGGAGCTTGGAAACTGGGCTGAATGTGAGGTTGGTGATTGCATTATTGTGACCGGCAACGAGACCCACTGTAACAACGGACTCAGCGGAGCCAAATGGTGCCTGAGGATTGACCGTATTAATTTTGATGGCATTCTTTGACGTTGCGAGGGCGAACTTGTTTTCGCTGACCCAGCAGGCCTCAAGACAACCAGAGCCAACATTCTCGTGGCTTCGGAGCTCCTGGATTGGCGTAAGATTGTCACCTTCCCATATACGTACGATTCCTGTAGTGTCAATGGTAAGCACAAACTGGCCACGCGGGCTCCAGGACACTGTGTGAAGAGGTGCAGCCACCTTCGTGGAGTCCACTGGCGTGTTTACAATATTCTTGAGTTTTCCGTCTGGCGTCCATGCTCTGATTTCGCCATTCACGCCTGCTGTGAGCACCATGGTGCCTAAAGGCGCCCAGGAGATTGTAGTGATTTCATTGGGTAAAGGAGTGTCGTCGCTGCCGTTTATGAGCGGTGGGTAGTTTAGCGTCACCGTTTCAGCGATGGCGCCGTTTTCGAAGGCAAGGATTTTGGCCGTAGAGTCGTCACAGCCGTAAGCTAGCACGGGGGAGGTAGGGTGGTATTCAGCTGCTAGCGAGCTCGTAAACCGAGTAGACGGCTCTAGAAGCTTTGTCGAGAATTCTATAATCTCGGGCTCCTCCTCTTTTTCTTCACTCTCCTCTTCACCCTTACCGTTACTGACGGCCAGCTCGTCCATATCCACGTCGTTTGAGCCGTTTTCAACGGTGTCCTTCTTTAAGGTGAATCGCAGTGAGTCCTTCTCTAGACTGTCAACACGGCTTTCGTTCTCCTTCAATATAGCGTTTACGAGGGAGATGCGTTCGTTTTTGCCCTCAGCAGCGTCCTCAACGAAGGTGTAGAGGATGCCTTTCTGTACAAGATTGACCAAACAGCCTGGTTCTATGGCGTCTATCAACTTGTTCTTGTCGTGTTCATATTCAAGGCACTGGGAGCTCTGTTGTAGGGCGTACGCCGCTAGCTCGAACCCACTTTCCTGAAGGTACCTCCAGATGAGGTAGTTAAGTTCCAAACTCGTAAGGGACATTCGTGGAGAGAAGGTGTAGTTGAAGATGAAGTTTTACTGGCTGGTGCAGGAGTAACCAGCCCACAGACGGTGTAACGTTATTTTAGTGTTTGAGGGGGGTTCTCTGTTTTGAAAAATCTACTGGATAGAGGTATCGTGTTATAGAAGTCTTCAGAATAAAAATTTTTCAAAACAACCGTGTATGTTCATTTTTTGATCTTTTCGTTGTAACGGTCCTCGACTTTTGGTCGCACTAAACAGAACCAGCCTCAAGCTGTCTTTCCAGTGAAAATAGACGAGACACATGCCAAAAATCCAGACGGCCATAAATTTCAATAAAAACTAAATAGAGGCAAAAAATACCACAAAAATAACTTAAAACCAAATTTTCACCAAATTTCAGACGGTTTTGCCGGTTTCGTGGCAGACACGCCCGGCTTGGTCAAGTCCCACTATCTACACAACCACCAAAGTGTACTCTTCAGTATGGACAAGCTGAACAGAAAAAGCAGGGCACCATGGCACATGGGCGGGGGCAAGGCTCCGGCAAACCCATACGCCAATGCCAACGTGTCCCAAAATTCGGCAGAAAACGACCCGTATGGTACTTCTCTTCAAGTGCCGAAAACAGCCGCTTCCAATAGAAGACACAACCGGCGAATGTCGATCCAGGCATCGGCGGCGGTGCCGTTTGACCCTTCAATGATGCCTCCGGTGCCTGGAGCAGCAATGTACCGAACGGGAACGAACAATTCGGACGTGGGGCTGGTCAGAAGCTTCGCTGCTCCTAGGAGAGCGTCCAATGACGATGATATCGTACAGATCATCAAGACAGAGCTTCACGACAAGGACGTGACGGTAATTGACGACTTTTACAAGTCCTTGCTTGCGCAGAACAGTAGTTTGGATACCGACATCAAGAGCAGAATCAACACCAACCAGAAGAACATATTGCAATTGACCGACGACCTTCGGGTCACCCAGGAGGAATTGGTCACGCTTCGAGTATCCACGAAAGAGCTCTACCAGATATTGGCTGAATTCGCCGAAGCCGCCGAAAGAAGACTTGCTATCGAGCAGGAGGCTCCTAAGAACCAGGGCTACAATGGTGGATCGTTAGATGTGCCAAACAAAAGGAAAGACAGGTCATCTGTCTTGGTGCTTCAGAAAATGTGGGCAACTGAGTTGCAATCGCTCTTCAAACACGTTGACGGTGCTCAAAAATACATCCAGGCTATTCCTGGCAGACACGTTCTCGCTGAAAGTGGTCGCTGGCACGAAATCAACATTGGTACGTGGAAACCAAGCAGGCCTATCCACTTGTTCTTGCTCAACGACTTGGTGATGGTGGCAACAAGGAAACTGCCCCAGGAAGGAAGCTCCAAGCGTCTTCAGGCCATCTACTGTTGGCCCCTTCAACTGGTGGACATATCTGAGATTCAAGCTCCATCTCAAGTTTCGAGCAAGGGCGAAAAGATACATGTCATTAACCTCCGGGCTCCTTCATTCAGCTATGTCTACCAAACCGATCGTTACGACCATTTCACGCGAGTCATGAATGCTTACCACAAGGGCAAGGCTGAGCTCGCACAGAGAAACAAGATGATTGAGGATGAAGAGCCCAAAAACGTTCGGGCTAGTGGAGAATTTGGCTACGGTCTCAATAGTAGCTCTGCAAGTCTACACGATGACAAGCTGGAGCTGCGTAATTTGCGCGAGTCTCTCCGTTCATCAGGCCTTCAAGGACACTCTAGAAGTGGGTCGACGGAGGACGTCGGCTTCAACAGACGTACAAGTGGACAAAGACACAGTAATGACGTTATTTTACAGGATATTTCTGCCAGAGTGCATTCCAGAAACCGGTCACACGACTACAATAAAGAAGCAGGTATCAAGAGACCTGGAAGCGACAAGCTGCCACAGAGGCTATTTTTGGAGCTCAAAAATGCAGAGGATAAGCTCGATGAGGTGGACGTTGACCTCGCTCACAATAACTACTCGCAAGCCACGCAACTCATGACTATTATCGATCAAAAGGTCGCCAGCATTGTCATGCGTGTTGCTGGCTTCAAATCAAAAGAAGACGATGGTGCTCTAGAAGAGTTGAGAATTCTTGTGGATGTCGTGAAGCTCAAGTTGGGCAACAGACGTTTCAAGATTCAGCAAAACCTTCAATTCGACTTGCAGCATAACATTCTGACATACACAAATGAGACCATCTCAGAGCTTCTCAGCTACTACTCGCAATTCGATATGCAAAGTGAAGGTATTTCGGCCATCTTGGAGGCTTTATCTGCTCACTTATCAAAGACTGTGGGTAAGCTCATATCCAACGCTCATGGGTCAACCAAGGTTGACATCATCAACTACCTCGCAAACTTAACCATCATATACGTTCTGATCATACGCCGGGCGTTGCAGATATATGGCGAGTGTATCGAGGGATTGCTTCATGACTCCAGACATGGCAACCTCGACTCTAGTGGGTTCATTACGTGGTGCATTTCGGAAATGTCCCGTTTGGTGGATATCATCAAAAAACACGCAGAAGAAACGTTACTTTTTAAGGAGGGCAAAATTTGGTACGTCAAGGACGACCAACACTACAAAGAACTCTTGGCCATCATATTACCACAGCTCTCGTTCTTGAAGGATGAGGGTCT